AAACTCCTATCTCCCTTTTCGAGAACATTCATTATTTAGGGGATTTTTATCATGTCCCCTCAAATTTGTCTCTTTTGAAAGATAAGCAATCCAAATATTTTCAATTTGTCTTCATATGAGAGTTTTTCCATGCCTCTAATTATTGCATTTTTCTCAGGGTTTCCAGTCAATTTCATTCTCTGGTTTTCTTGCACTATTCAGTGCCGAAATGCCTGAGTTCCAAAGGTTGCAAAGGATTTTTTTTTTTTTGTGGTTAAAATATATTTCCTTTGGAATAAAATGTTTTTATAAAACTTGAACTTTGGGTCACATTTGCCCTGACAATGCCATTTTAAGTATAATTTGGAGGCAAAAAACACTAGTGTTCTCATTTTTATTGGATAAAACCAGCTTGGTCTCACCTCATCAAGCTTATAAACATAAAGCCCTTACAAGTCTAACATTCTCACACTGAATACAACGACCAGGCCAACTGCAGAAGGAAGAGGTGGAAAAATTTGTATGCAAGGCTCAGGAATCCTTAGAAGTGTTTTAAAAACAAAGAACAAATGCAATGCTTGAGATAACCGTCCGAATTGGCGCTGATGCCATTCAATCTGGAACAACATCCGAGAAGCCAACGCTTTCAACCTTCACTCAACTCTGTGCAGGAAGCTGTCCAAAGTAGCACGCTCCCTTAGACCTCAGAGCCACTGCCTGGGGCCTGGGAAGCTTAATAGCCATATTTTTCATTCAGATGAGTCTTGCCATCACCGCTTTGACCTGATTGACAAGAGACAAAAAATATATATATTTGCTCTTCCAAGATCGACTCAGAGCAAAGAATGAAACTGTCTACAACACAGAGCATACGTTCAACAGACAGAAAAAGTATACCAACCCACACAATGGATACTAAAATACTAGTCTCCTTTTGATACGTAATTCCTGACAGCTGGGAGTCATAAGCCTTTACAAGATTACATAATATCTTTCCTGTTTATTTGGTTCCTCCAGTGTCCCCATTATGCCAGCTCAGACAGGAGACAAATCCTCCCATTAGCAACTGGAGACAGGAAAAGAGAGCTCCCTCAAAAAAAAGGAAGCTGGCTAGACACACCCGGGTCAGCCCGTCTTCTGGTCAGCTGAGCCAGGAATTTTGCTCTAGTTTTTACTAGTGCTAATGGAGTGCAGTCCTTTTGTTCACTTAGCTCTGGGTTAGAGCTCTCCTCCCTCCCTGTGAGGCTCAGCAATGTTTTAAACCTCTAATTATCTGTAATTTTGAGAAAGAGTATCTTGAAACCATATGAAATCTAATCTACGCACTTAATATGAAAAGCTATATGCATAAGCCATGCTCTTTTTAAAAAAGTATAATTGAAAATTCATTGCATCATTAAAAATAACCAGAGAAGGTTAAATCAAAACGATTTGAAGGTTAATTAGAAAAAAGTTAATCTTTACCTTTCACCCGCCACACAAATTGGATTTGTGCCCCTATTAAAAGTCATTCCATATCTCTGCCACAAGAAGTTAATAAGGCTTGTCTCTCCAAAACATGTGATATGAATTGTAGGAAGGTTTGTGTTTCAAAGTTTTGGTCAAAGAGTCTTCAAGAAGTTTTAGAGAACCAACCCATTTGTTGCTGAATGTCCCAATGACTTCAGTGAAAGTTGAGGCTGCTCAAAACCTCAAAGGCTTTGATCTCCCTTTCAAATAATAAAACCACCACCATACTTGGTGTAATGAAGCCAATATAGAACTGCAGGAACGAATAGTAGCACATATAACAGCGTGAAAAGTACATGTTTGTGTTACACCCATCCCAAATACCACGTATGTGTGAAATATCCATACTGGTTGATTTTTTTTTTTTGGGCCACACTTCAGTGACCTCAGGACTATTTTGCAAATGGATTCCTGATTTACTGGTGTAAGAAGTCAGAGGAAATTGCTTGGTACCTGCAGGAGGCATCCACACACAGTAGTCTGGGTCATCTTCTGGGTACTGCGAGGAGGAAAGCGCTTGCTGGAGCTGCAAAAAATAATAATTGAGCAGATATTTTTAAAAATACAGCATTCCTAGCATAAAGTTTCCAAGTGTTTCAAACAGTCAGTTTTAAGCTCACGGAAGTGGTGTGGAAGAAAAAAAAGCTACTGAGAGGTGGGAGCAGTTTTCCTACTGTGAAGAGTCACCGAGGAAACACAACAGGAGTGCAGTGGGCGGGTAACGGAGCAGGTCTCAGAGCATAGATCGAAGGAGGACGACACCCTCCGATACAGCCATGAAATCTCCAATGAAGTCAGTAGGAGCTGAGTGTACTAATGAGGGCAGAACTGTTTGTTGCACTTAACAGCATTACAGAGAATACAAAACACAGGATAATAATAATAATAATAATTAATGGAGATATCCCATCTCCTAGAACTGGAAGGGACCTTTCAAGGTCATCGAGTCCAGCCCCCTGCCTTCACTAGAAGGACCAAGTACTGATTTTGCCCCAGATCCCCAAGTGGCCCCCTCAAGGATTGAACTCACAACCCTGGGTTTAGCAGGCCAATGCTAAAGCTAAAGCTCAAACCACTGAGCTATCCCTCCCCCCGATTGTGTCCACGGTGTGTGCAAATAAAGGTTACATTGAGAATGTTCATTTTTGTATTTGCTGATTCTTGAGGGTTTAAATTTGTAAGCTTAATGTTACATTGATGTCAATTTTACAATGAATGTCCCTGTTTAAGACAAAAGATGAAGGTGAGACTTAAGTGATTTAAGAGCACAATTCACACTGGAAAAAAAAATTATATTAAGGCCAACAGTTTCAAACTTGAATGCCTGAAGTTATGCTGTTAAATGAGAGTGGTCTGGTTTTCCAAGGAGATATATGCTTCCAGCTCCCATTAACTTCAGTGGAATTTGTGACTGCTAAGTGCTCTTCAAAAATCAGGCTATTTTCATCGAGGTCTAAATATGGAGATAGCAAGTTAAGGTCAGGTTGAAAATTTAGGGCTGAAGCAGTAATCTTTTAACTGCTTTCATCTTTTACTTCCACAATTATGTAGTCAAAATCTAACAACTCCATAGTGAAATACTGAAAACAGTTAAAAACCTCCCCACCTATATTTAAGTCTTTAAGTCATGATCTGAGGGCTTCAGTAACTCAACCAGAGGTTAGGGGTCTATTACAGGAGTGGTGGGTGAGGGTCTATGGCCTGCAGTGTGCAGGTCAGACTAGATGATCATGATGGTCCCTTCTGGCCTTAAAGTCTATGAGTCTATATTTTATTTACTAAACATTGAATTTATGTACTGGTTATAACATAAAACATTAATACAGATATACCAGCATGATCAAAGCAATTTTTCAGTCCCTCAAATCTGTTTAATTTTCTAAAATTAACCTGGATTAGAGACCTCTAGAAGATCTAGCCTCCTGGAAAGTGTCAGCATGTAAAATTCAGCTATTTTTATTCTTGTGCACAAAAAAGTCAAAATCTTTTCAGAAGGAGAAAAGACTTTTTCCAGTTTTGCATGACTCAAAAGTGTATAAAAAGATTTTTTCCTCCAATTTTTTTAAAAAAATGCTACCTTTGGGCTGAAACCCACTATAGAAAATATCAACCAAAAGGAGACTTTTAAAAAGATATCATGTGCAACAAGTGATTTGTAATGGGAATGTGAAGATAATCTAAGGTATTTAATATTATGAGAATGCTATAATATTAGAATGCTTGGAGTGAATTAGTGCTGGTTAGAGGTGCTGGGTTTGACAGCCCTGGAGACTGATACTTTCTAGTTAACCACAGAAGGGGTACAGCATAGATTGTAGCAGTGCAAATTTATTGACACTTCCCTCACTAATATGCTTCAACCTAGCTACGGAGGGACAACCTCTGAAGGATGTTCCCATTCAGTTCTTGGCCCCTCTGCTGGGATTGCTAACAATGGAATCAATTAATGCCAATGGAAGTATTTTTTTGGATTAGCAGATCCTGCTAGTGGCTGATGGGCATTATGCCTCTTTGCTATGTGATGCAGTGTATTTGCATAGCATTCCATCAATTACAAAACCTACAACCAGAATGTGCTGCGTAGAAATTGCCACACTTGTAGTCCATCTAGTCCAGTACCCTGTCTCCAACAATGGTCAGTACCAGATGGTTTAGAGAAAGGTACAAGCCCCCATGATGCTAAACTATGCAGTAATATGCCCGCAGGAAAAGGTTCTTTCTAACCCCAGGCAGAAGTGGTTATCTTTATGCCCCAAAACATGGAGGGTTTATATCCTTTACAGATTTTTATTCTAGAAACAACTCTGTCCTCCTTGTGAATGCACTGAAGGACACTTACACCTTGGCTCCCAGTTACAGTAAATTCCACAACATTAACAATGGCCCCTTTCCCAAAAGGATGAAGTTATATTAAAGGCAAGACATGTGGACTAGAGAGGTGGTCCCCAAGTTTTCCAGATTAAGACCTTTGCTGTGTAAGCCAGTGTGTGCAACATCCCACGCTAATCAACAAGAAAGCTCTACAATCACAGGTCTGGGCCTTGAAGCATGCCAATTTTTAAGGCAAGTTGGAGCACATACAAGCGAATGAGAGACCACATCACTGTGACCCAGCACAATACAGTTATCAATACAGTTGGAAAGGAAGCTTTGATGAACAGACTGGTGGTCTAGTTTGCTTGTAGCTTTTACAAATCTCTGTCATTCCTGAAATGCTAGCTCATAGCTTCTCAGCAGGCACACTCCTTGGTGACTTGCAATAGCTCTCTATGAATACTGCAGCAGTAGTGCATTCGAACAGTGGTCTCCAAACTTTTTTGATCGCGCACCCCTATCAGTAAAAAATTTTGGAGCATGCACCCCCTGCCATGCCGCCCCAAGCAAAAAAAAAAAAAAAAAAAGGCCACCCGAACTGCCAAAGCGGCGCTGCTCTGGCGGTGCTCCTCCTGCTGCGCACCCCAAAGGATGCTCTTGCGCACCCCACTTTGGAGACCACTGCATTAGAAGACTAGTTTCACACACCATGGAAGAGACATCACTGTCACAAAGCAGTACTCCAACCAAGTCACCAGCCCATTTCACTCAGAGGGAATCTTTTAAATTAGATTGTTGACTTCTTGGGGCAGGGACTGTCTTCCTCTGCGTGAGAGAGCTTCAGGTATCATTACTTACCCTGCTTGGGCCATTGACTTTCGTCTTTTTCTTGGGGCTCTCTTCAAATGTCCTGCATGTTCTCTCCGATGCTGGGAAGAAACAAGATCTGTTTTATAGCACACCGTATTGCTCCTACGTCACGAACCAGCAGCTCTATCAGAAATAAGTTTACAAAAGGCCCACTTAAAAATAGACCTGTCAAAGGAATTGATTCATTAACCTTGTTGTACCAAAATTCAGTTCTTTTATCTGTTGAATAGGATCCTATGGTTATTAATTTATTGAGATTAAATACATTTAAGTGACAACTGTAGTTTAATGTATTCAGTCCTGTAGCTGGCACTCCATATATCCACACTTGTAAGGGGTTAGGATCTAATAGGTCTTTTCCATCTACAGTTACAATAATAATAAATTCTAGTAGTCAAGCAATCGTCTCCCTGCAGATTACAAGAGGATATAATACTGAAGCTGGAGCATGGAAATCTTGGACTTTGGCCATCAAGGGTCTATACATTGGGCCACGAAGACCGAAAGCTACTTTAGGAAATACATGGAACCAACATACAAAAATGCCACTTCACTGGGTACAGGAATATCAGTTAGTGAAAGAGAACAGTGAGGGAGCATGTGAGATGAATAGCCTCGACTTTCCTACCATTTAACCTAAGTGACTCAAGATCTCAATCTCATGCAACATCGAAATTCACCCCATGAGACAATAAGAGGACAGTCTCCCTGAGGAATCTTAGGCTGCCATAGACTGTCAGGTGGGAGAGCAGAGCAAAAGAATTCATACAGATCTCTTCCAAACGTTTTGCTTGCCAAGTCAGGCCTTGATCTTGAGGATCAGATGGATTTTTGTAAAACGCATGGCGACATTTGAGTAGCTCAGAGTGCATGCTACTGCCAGCCATATGTTACTTGAGATTTGTATGGGTACAAGTCTTCACATGCACTTCCCCTCTGACCAATTCTTAAGACAAGGAGGAGAAAAAGGGGGCATCATTTTTTACACTTGGTTCTTCCGCACAAGATCCTGCTGTCACTCTATTGCATAAAAATAATTTTGTATTTACACAGTGTCTTTCATCCAAGGAACTCAAAGCGCCTTACAGATTTGGAGGGGCGAGGAGAATTGAAACAGAGGTGAAGTGACTTGCCCAGAAGTCACATATTTAGGCTGTGGCAGAGTTGAGAATAGCCCTTACACCCCCCTGGATTCCTAGTTCCCTGCTTCAGAAACTAGACAATGCGGTTTCCTTTTGCTAATCTGCATAGACAATAGCTCCTTTGGATACATTTTTAAGTCCATAGTCTCCTGCACAATTGCTGAGCCCCACATTGCATTGCTCACCTTGAGACTTCTCTTGTGATAGGTCCACCTGATATTCATTCTCTGGTGTCTTTAACTGCTTGCTGATGGGCTGAGACTGAAAACCAATCCCTGTGAAAAACAGCCAAAAAGGTCTACAGAATACACTTATCAGGCATCCTAAGAAGTAGAGCACTAGTATCACTGAAACACAAGACACTAGAGAAAACTTAGCTGCATTCATTTCAGCACTGACATTCAAATAAAGAGATTAAAATGTAGAAAGACTATTTCAATGCAACATTGGGAAGGAGTTTAATTAACCCATAGAGCCAGTTTAAACTAACAACTTGGCCATATTGCACATGATACTATACATTAAGGCAAGGAGACAGAGTTGCAGATACGAGGGAACAAAATAACTTACTGCAATGTCATGGCTGAGTTGTCACATGCACAGAGTTGGTGAATGCAAAAGGCTTTGAATTTGGATATAAGCTCCATAGAGACAGTCAAGAACTTGCCATTATGGCTTTTAAAATATTTTACCTCCTCAGTTTATAAACCTTCAAAGGTATTCTTACTCTGAAATCTGTTTTCTTTTTAATTATGTTCCCTTACAACAATGCCATGTACTAGTTTGTTACTGACAGGTTTCAGAGTAGCAGCCGTGTTAGTCTGTATCCGCAAAAAGAACAGGAGTACTTGTGGCACCTTAGAGTTTGTTACTGTAAGACACTCAAGTGCTGCACACCCTGGTTAACAATATGGCCTGTCACAATACAGAAAGATTTCTTTTCTTGTCTCTTTTTTAATCCCAAAACGATGGGAAATTTGCTGTTGTGCAGAGCTTTAATACAAAACCAGGTGAAACTCAGTTGTGTCTTGGATCTGTTTGTGCCCAGAATGCTGAACTCATAGGCACAAAGCTGTGAAAAGGAAATCTGCAAAGTGTCACATGAACATCTGTGAAGCAAGTCTCCATAGTTTTGTGCAACTCTGAAAAATCCAGTAGTTTATACTCACATAACCTAATGCAGGGAAAAGGGAAAAAAGCGGTCACTGTTTACCATGGGTAGGTTCCAGATTCTTACTAGGAGAACTGGCAGGAAGACTCGTCTCTTGTTCTACTTCTTCTCCTGCCATTTTCGTCTCTGTTTTTTGTGTCCCGATGTTTGCTGCTTTGATTTTCTGCTCCTCATCTTCATCCTCTTCTTCCTCCTCCACTTCAGGCCCATCATCTTTCATTTTTAACAAGCTTTCAGGGATATCTGGACGCCTGACAGGCAACTTCTGTGGTGTAAAAGCAAACTGATGTAGCAGTGCTTAGGTAATCTGGTGATGAGTGCTATAAAAAACCCTAAGATATACAGACAGGTTGATACAGAATGGCCACAGACAGACAAGACAGGACAAAGCAGCATGCATGTTCCACTCAAAGGAAGAACTAGGAAAGTACCACCAAACGGAGGACGAGCTATTTTGTCCTAAGGAAAGGTGCAGGTGAAAATTAAGAGTGAAAAGAGATACAGTCATTGTCCCCAGGAGAGCAGGTCATAGTTTTTTGATAGTCATATTGGGAATTAAACCAATAATGCATTTGAATTTAACTAAAAAGCCAAGAAGAATAGAAAAGAAAGTGAAGGGGAAGCCAATGACCTAAGGAAACAAAAGCAAGGAATACCTTAAAACTGTTCTCTTTATCATACTTACCCCTAGGTTTCCAGTTTTCAGTTTGAATTTTCTTCCTCCCTTCATTGCACCAAAGAGAGGCAATGTTAGCTTTTTAGGCTTGCTCTCTAGTTCCAGACCATGACTCCCAGTCCTAACAAAATTAGATACAAAGAAAAGCGATTAGCACATACAAAGCCTACAGTAAATACCTAGGCATCAATCTCTTCTATTTAAGAACAGAAACATTTGCGGAACAAAGGTGATGTTATGGAACAAGAACTCAAACCTTTGCTGTGTGATCCTTCTACATGAAAGGTTATTAAGAAACACCACTGTGCACGCGCACAAATACACAAAGCAGGTGTTGATCTTATGCTTTAACTCCATTGTTGCTGCATCTCTCTGTAGCATTCCTCTAACATGGCAATGGGTCAATGGCACACTGACACGCCAAAGTGACATCTCAGACATAGCATAAGAGATGGTACCCACTGTATATTTTGCTCTTTCTACATTTTGGTAGCATTCCACTCACCAGGACAATTTCATATGGACAATATACAGTGATTATTGATGTTGACTCACTGGGGCTTCAGCTCTGGCAGTTCCGCAGGTTTAACAATCTTTATTAACCCTTTCAGTCTCTGCTGTTCTTTCCTCAATTCAAAGGTCCGCAAATGAAGCTTCTTCCTCATTACGCTGTCTAAGGAGCAGCCTGATTTTATTTCAGTCATGAATTCATCCAAGGAATCCTGAGAAGCCGGCTGGGGTTGGGCTGGGCAAGATGATTGCAAAATGCACATGGTAGAAGGGGGAAAAAAGGAAAATGATGAGTCTCATACCCACCAAATTTAACCTTAAAAGATTGCGAAGTGTGTGATGGGGCCATATAAGTACCTAAGACAGATAACTAGCTAATACACCACCCTCTGTGCAAAACCCTCACTATTCAGCTAAATAATGGGCCAAATTCGTCCCTGGGGAAGAATTCAATGGAGTTCCCTAAAGGATTAATTTGATTTAATACATTTTAGTCTGTGTAAACCCATTTCTGAATTTGTGAATGTTAACTCAAGTAATCACCCCCTTGAAGTCTGTAAGTATTTCCTATCTTACCTAAAAATTACTTCATCTGTGACTCCTGTTCAGACAACCTTACATACTGTTGTTACTTTGCCAATGTTTTCTAATTGGGAAGGCTGATTTATATTTGGGAAAATAAAGATATGGGGTTTTTTCCTTGGATTTTGACAATGCTATAGAATTTGCATCCTCTGAGTTATGTCAGAGGCAGACAATGAAGAGAACTAATTCTGTGTTGTCAGAATTTCTGAGCCCTTTGTTGTCCAGTAAGAACTTCTGCCTTTTTTTTTTAAACTATTATACGCTATGCTAAAATTCACGCAAATTTAAATCTTTGTAACTGTATGATTAAGTGTGCATGTAGATATGTACGTGTGTCTGTACACAATTATGTAATTTGCAAATTTTTAAATCCCAACCCTAATTATAAGCCAGCCCTAAGTATTTTAAATTCCAGCCCTAATTAACTCAGCCTTAATTATAAATCAGAATTGGTTGAATGTAATTAAAGATGATTTCTTTTTTTGGCTTTGTTTAATTTTTTTGTGATGAGTATATTTTTGAAAGTGATTGTAAGGAACTATTAAGCATTTTTTCTAGTTATGCAAACATTTATAAAAGGCCTCCGTTTATAAACTGGATATTTCTGATATAGAACAAAATACAGTTTCACGTTTAAACACACACACAAAAGCTGTAGCAGCATGTAACAGTAATTACTCAAAGATCACTTAGTTAATAGGATGCAAGGAATTATTATTACTTGGTATGCTATGTGCCCTAATGTCCCTTAGGAAGATGATATATCAGTATTAATAAAATTGTATTGTAAGTAGTCCAGCCAAAGGAGCTCTCATTAAGTCTATTTCTCTCATATATAATTAATAACTTTACACTGAGTGTGAATCAGGAAAAAGCTACCCACAAACTGACTGTTTGAACCTTTTAAAAGATAGAGATACCGTATGTCAATATTCTTCCTTATGATCACTATGCCTACAAAATAATCTTGAATTAAAGGTGTGTATATAGATACACACACAGAGAAAGCACTTTTACTACTAGACTTACACACATTCTGCAGTATATGATGGATTATCCATTCTTACAGAGATGTTTAGCATACCATCAGATTAAGTATCTGAACTTTAAAGTTAGCCAGCAAATAGGTATGCTCTAGACTCAAAAAGATCCTGACCTGGGAAAAACCTTGAAGAAGTCCATGGGAATTAGGTGCTCAGCACCTCACAGGATTGGGCCTGAAGTTGGGCACAATGGACCAGCCCAGAAAATGGATACATATAACCCTGCCCCAAAGTAGAATGGATTAGTTGTCTCTGCCTAAAGTGCTGCCACCATTTCAACATAGAGACTCAGTAATGTGTAAGTGGATTTGGCAGTTTCAGCATTGGGTGGCAATTACAGAGGGCAGCCATGTCCCAGGTAAATACAGCTTTGGACAAACCAGTCTCTCCTCTGGTGAGCAGATCCACAGTAGGATCTATTACCTCAGCATCACAAAGAGAATCTCTACCCCACTGCTGCTTGAGGGACTAGATTTTCCAAGCTCAGGCTACTGAATGCAGTTCACAGTCTTTTTCTTAGGATGTGATATCTGCAATAGCACAGAAAATTGCTGGGGAGACTAAAATTAGTCATCACTAGGAGCAGGATTAATCATGGATATTGTATTTTATGTTATAGGGACAAAAGCTCTAAGGTCATTTACTTCACTATTAGCTTGTCCATGAAGAACATTATTGCTAACAAAAAATAAAACTGAAAATCTCTGTGTATTTGATTTTCATTCAGCTGCACCGAAGTATGAGAGAGTTATCAAGCTTCCTCATCAGTAGTTAGTTCAAAATGAGTTTAGGAAGCAATCTGTAAATCTTTATTGATGTCTCTCTGACAACCACTTAATCTCTACAAGTGCTGGGTAAGAAATGCAGTAATTCAGCCTGTCACTCACTCGTCCATCCTTCTGGAGTGCTGCTCTTAGAGGCCAGGCATGTAATCACTTAGAGAAAGCCAAAGCTTGATAAGGTTTCACAACCTTACGTGCTGTAATAGTATTGACAGACTACCAATACAATGATAAAAAAAAAATCACCTATCATTAGTGTACATGCTCTAAGAAGCTGTAGGCCAGCACCTATGGTTAATGTGAGCTACCAATTTAAATTACAAAGAAAAAAAACAAGCAGCCAATATAAGGATTAAAATAGACTGGCAAGTGATATAAGATTAGTTATAGTCTATCCTGGCCCAATGTGGGGAAGGCATTGTTAAACTGAAGTACCAAAGTAGCCCCACTACTGTTTCAAAGTAAGGTCCGATACCTGGCAGTCTGACAGGTCTAGCAATAAATGCTGGCATTCCCAGTTTTCCAGGGCTATAAAGGATTCATATCCACCTCAGTGAGTCATGACATGCCAGAATTAACAGTACTAAATGCTTTCAGGTTCAGACAGATTTTCCAAGCAATGGTCCTGGACAAATGACCAGAAACAAAATTGTTGATCCAAACTAGCACTGGTATTGGGTTGGTTTACCGAAAGGAAATAGCTGACCATATCACGCAGACATAGAAGTACAGCTACCATAAGTTGAAATATATTACCACCTGGAAGACGCTACAATTTTCAGAGAAATCTTACTCACACAGGGACGCCCCATTCTTTGTTTATGCAAACTATTTCTGGTAGAAAATGTATAAACACACACCTAAGTACATTTCCCCCAGATATCACCTGGCCACACAACACAGCCTACAAGTACATTTTGTCTCAACTTTTTCTGGTGGACTTTTTACGTGCCCAATATTTGTTTTGTTTAAAGAGACAGTCAATTTGAATTTTTTGAAATTCAGCTTACAATTTAAAGGCTGTTCACTAAAGATATTTATTTTTAAATTCCTTTTTGATAAAAAAGAGGGGAGGAGAGTTTGCATTTCCTTGCTGCATTATCAGGGTCTTTGAATGGGCCCAAGAGCAATGCCACCAAATGTCCTTGGGAATGCACCTGCCTGCTGCCTCTTCACTTTAAGTTGTTGCTAACAATAAATACCTGCTTGCAGAGCCTGTGGAAGAGTATAATCTTCTCCCTCCCAGCTACAACATCTCATGAGAGCGATGCAACTGACCATTAGAAAGCAATGTGACTGACTACTCAACAAGTGCTGTCAAATGCATAAAGTAAATCTGAAAAAAAGACAAAAATATGCTTTCCCCTCTGATCTTTCATTCTAGTAACCATAGCAGTTACTATAACAAAAGGAGGTATAAAATTTGCAGATGGAAGTAGGATTTTTGAGTGACAGCATCCTTTTAACTACCTCTCTGAAATTCAAGAGCACATTATTGGCAGACAAATTTAACGTATTTACATACACCTATATTCAGGGGTCATTCCACAAGGAACCCTGAAGACAGAACCTTTTGTTTCTAAATATGTTTGCACGGGATGAGGGGATTGGTGAAAGCTCTCTAGGATCCCCTAACCTATTCCCCACAGAGTCTCAAAAGCTTTACCTGATAGTGCTCCTCTCTTTGAGGAAGGTTAGATCTGACTCAAGTTATGGAATATGACCATCTCACCTGACAGTAGCTTTCCCCTATACAATACACACCCAACCCAGAAGAGGCTCCCCACCCACTCCAGAAGAGCAAGTCTGGAACCCAAACTCTGACCTCACGTGGCAGCAAGTTGCAAATTCACCAAACAGACACAGGGTCCTAAACTTCAAGTATTTTCACTGTGTACTTTTCAGTTTTTCTTTCCTTTAAACTTTTACATCTGCAGTGACAAAGATGACCTGAATAGAGATCATCTACAATTGCAGAAGCCTTTGGTCTTTTGTTTCCTGCAAAAGGATTTGGAGGTTGTGGAAGAATTATCTTCAGACAGGGTTGGTCTCACAAACGTGGTTAACATCGATGAGCACTAGTTTACCTTGTTAAACTCACCTAGCTAGTACACCCTCCACCCCTTACCTTAGATGTTATGTACTGTTAAGATACTCATTAATAACAAATGCAGGGAAACTACACCAATATTGTATACTGTCGGATCCTGTGTACTGGATTAGGTACTCTCTTTGGGACTGGTGTGAAACAATAGCCAGCAAAATGACCTGCAGGTCTGCCTGCTTCTAGGCTCCACTCCTCCATTTTCATTTAGCAGCTATATGTTAAGACATGTATACGAACTCTGCCCTCTCCGGCACAGCGCTCTCTAAAGCTCTTCAATCAGGGATACTTGGTGCCTTACCTTTCCCTGAAACCTTCAGCTTCTCCGTTATCTCAGAAAGTTCTTTTTCAGCTGCATTTAACTTTGCAACCTACAAAGAGCCACATAATTAAAAAACATTTTCATTTTAAAGATGTTTTTAAAATAAGTTATTTTTAAAACCAATATTCTACCACATTATCCTGTCTTTACACTGCTGATCTTTGGAGGTTACTGGCTCAAAGGACTGACTCTGCTCCTAAACAATTTCTCATCTCATTTTCCTCCTGAAGCATCAAGATGTGCACATGCCTGGGTAACCATGTTATATTATTGTCACCCTTGTCTTTCCTTCTCACCCTCCTTGTCTGAGTATGACCCTAACTTGTCAAATCACGTTCAATCCAGTTTGTATGGTCTTTGAAACAGGGATCAGATCATGTTTTGGGAGGTACCACGTGCACTTTTGACACTTGGAAATTATTTTGTGATGGCCTGAAGCTGTTTCTGTGTCTTTGTTCTGATACTCAATTCACCCACCTCTCTGCCCTGTCTTGTCAAACATAAAAAAACTGCACAGGCAAGCACAATATAGTACATTTCCCTAGAATAGAGAGTGTGCACTACATTCTGGTAACTCATTAGATGAAAATTATTTTCACAGCTCTGATCAATGAAGTTGCAAATTCCTCTTGCCTCCCCTAGTTTGCATGTGTGAATTTAGGGCTCATGCTGGATGACTGATTGGCCTGGGGACTGAAGTCCTCTATCCACAGAGCAGGCACAGCAGAGCAAACTTCCGCAGTACTGCCTTCCCTACATGCCTCAACCTTAAGCAGGAACAGTTCTAGGATGAGAAGGCTTGTTCTCCATGCACAATCAATCCTGCTCCTTTTTGCTGAGGCTGCTAGTAGAAGTTAAGTTATACCAAAAGTGGTGGCAGTTTCTGTGTTCACTCAGTTAGACTGGGACCACCAACTAAGTGCACACATGCTACTGAAGTGCTGGTAGCAGCAGCTTTCTGACGCTTCCACCCTGTGCTGGAGTCAAAAGGTTCCATGCATACACCAACACCAATCTTCAACCCTCCAAGTCTCTTGTTCTATGGACACTGAGCCCTACTGACTCCACTCTAGGCTGATCAATTGGTAATTACAGGCCTGAGATGGTATCAGAGCACTGTCTAATACAGAGACATTTAAAATCCCTTTGATCTTTCTTTCCAGCAACTGTGTATGCAAGACTGATTATAGCCTGAAGCCAACAATGCCCTGTCTGGCTGTTAACCCGAGGTGGTTCTTACCAGTGAATCAAAAGTCTCCGGCTTCTCTTCTATTTTCCCAGCTTTTTTCATTCTGTTCAGTCGTTTCTTTTCAACAACCCCAGTTCGGTCAAGGAAGGTGTCATCATCACTGTCATAAAAGTCCTCCTCTTCCCAGTTCTTTGCTTTCCTTTTCCTGGACACTGAGAAGGGTGAGAGGGAAAGGCGAGGAAGCAAAAAAGAGTTAAAGCTCTTGAAAAAGAGAACGGTTTGAAGCTAGTCATTTACATCATTGATTTAAGCCTACCTAGTCTAGTTAGTATCACACAGTTGACCAAATATGTAACACACACACTGGAGAATGCAAGACTGTTTAAATTAACTCTAGGCTTATGCAGCAGGCTCAAGCTTTCTCAGCAACTAGAAGCCCTCCCTCAGAGAACATCTTCTAAATAGCTACAAAAGAACGTGACCAGTTACTAACCTGCCTCTTGCCGCAGCACACCTCTAGCATCCAGTATTCGGCAAGCTTCCAACGCGCACTGTATCATTGCTTCCTTTTTCTTTCCTGAATGGATAGCCTCTGCCACCAGCTGCTTCCCTGATGCATCATCCACAGGCAACCTGTTCAATTCCGAGTTACACAACAGCTCTGAGGCACTACTAGGCTCTTATGTTCTTTACGTTGGACATCACTCTTTCCATCCCACCCTATTCTCTTTTCCGGTAAATATTTTCATATTACATTTTTTTTTTTACAACATTAGTCAAACCAGTTAGTTTCCACAAAACATTCAGGCAAATCTTTAACTAGCCTGAGGAACAGGACTTCCTACATCCAATCCCAGGTAACGGCAAAACAGCACTGACAAGCCAAAAGGAACTAATTTAGGCTCCAAAGTACTTTTAAGCACCTGTATCTTGCGAATTACCAATGCTAGAAATTAACATTATGCCATACTGGAGTAGAGATTCTCAAAATGGTATAAGCCATTCCAAGCTGTTCTATTTGGTCATAAGATATCAGACCTTAAATGTCACGTCATTCCAATTACTATCTTGCTTTCCCCTCCCCAACACCAACATGATATTAGTGGCCTCTCTGAAGAACCCTTGAAGCTAGAAACCACTGTTTTATACCAACTGAAAGGCAGGAATCAGATTTCAAATAGTATAAAGCATGAATTTCTATCTCCATTGGTTTGTGAGATACTGCTAGCTAAATTCTTCCTCAGATAATATTTCAAATTGTTGTGTTTCTCACAGCAGGGACAATTGAAAGCATTGTCACAATTTGATGTTCCTGGAGGATGGAAAATAGCAAAGCAAGAAAGACTGGGGGAAAAGAGTACAGACACTAAACTGGGAAGTGATCCATCCATCATCCTTCTATTTCAATTTCAGTGCTTAAGCCTAATCTCATTTTGGTCTCAGCTGCAGATGTACCAATCAAGCAAATGACTTTCTCCGCTTCTGCTTGTGAAACTGAAAGGAAAGCCTCTAATTTCAGAAAGTCAATGCACAATATACCTACTTAACCCTGCAGAGCCAGGTATTGTGTCCATGGTCATCATATTCATACTCTAGTTCTTCTCCTGCACAGGAAATAGAGAAAAAAGTTGATGCAGCTGCCCACGTTGTAATAACCAGCAACCACTACTTGTGGTAGGGGACGACAGCGAGGGTTAAAAGGAAAATAACCTCTTTTCTGACTGATACTCCCCTGCTTATACATCAACAGATTGGATTTGCTCTTAGCCACCACATCATCCTGGGCAGTTGGTTATCCACTGTGACCTTAAGTTCTTTTCTGAGTCATGACTTTCCCAAACACAGTCCCCTCCTTCCCCTCGACCCCATCCTAAGAGCAACCTGTATTCTTGGTTCATCGTTTGTGACCTTGCATTTACTTGTATTAAAACATACGCTGTTAAAGTAAGCCAAGCTTACAATGAGATCCAGATCTCTCTTTAGAGCCAAGCTGTCATTATTTAACACTCCACCAATATTTGAGTCATCTACAAACTTTACCAGCAATGATTTTAAATTTATGTCAACTTGTCACTGTTGCTCTATAATACTTTCCCATAAAACCTCATATCACAACCACCATCCCCTAACCAGATGGGTCTGAACTATGATGCCTCTGGATCCCTTAAACTTTACTTTTGAGAGTTGGTTGTAGAAGGGGTGTCACTCAAGAATGATACAAGGTGCTTACACAATTCCTAACCTGGGAGCCAGAAACAAAGTTTGAACGCTGAACTAAGGCCCTGGATCCAGAGACAAGAGTTTCAATAATAACGTAAGAAAAGCCATACTGGGTCAGAACAAAGGTCCATCTAGCCCAGTAGCCTGTCTTCCAACAGTGGGCAATGCCAAGTGCTTCAGAGGAAATGAACAGAACAGGTAATCATCAAGTGATCCATCCCCTGTCACCCATTACCAGCTTCTGGCAAACAGAGGCTAGGGACACCATCCTTGCCCATCCTGGCTAATAGCCATTCATGGACCTATCCTCCATGAACTTATCTAGTTCTTATTAGAACCTTGTTATAGTCTTGGCCTTCACAACATCCTCTGGCAAAGAGTTCCACAGGTTGACTGTGCGTTGTGTGAAGAAATACTTCCTTTTGTTTGTTTTAAATCTGCTGCCTATTAATTTCATTTGGTGACTCCTAGTTCTTGTGTTATGAGAAGGAGTAAATAACACTCCCTTATTTACTTTCTCCACCCCAGTCATGATTTTAATAGACCTCTATCATATGCCCCCTACGTTGTCTCTTTTCCAAGCTGAAAAGTTCCAGTCTTATTAATCTCTCCTCATATGGATACAATACACTAAAAGAGAACAGAAAAGTTCACTTCCTACATTCCAAATACAAGGCAGAGTGTGACAAGTATGGCATCACCGCATGCACCACTATGGGGAAATCCTCAGCTGATAAAGGATAGACACAATACACATACCTTCCCTGTCAAAGAAACCCTGCAGCGCCTTCCTAGGGTCCTTCAAATAAAAGGCTTCTTGCTCCTCCTGAAACTCGATGGCAATAGGATTTTCTTCAACCTCATCTTCCTCGGCATCTTCCCCTGGAGGAAAGCATACACAGAAGTGCAGATGAAATAGGAAAGGAGGTTGGGAAGAGATGCAAGGAAAATTCAGCATTCATCAGTGTGAAAGATATGAGCCACAATTTAGAAAAATCCCTGTATAACAAGTTTTGCTTAACTTTTATATTCTTTTGATAAGTTACCCTCACAGATTCAACCTTACTAACAAAAGACAGGTAAGTATATAATAGTAGTTTATCATTTTAAAGACATACTTTAAAGTATTGGAACTTTAGCTATTTAAAACTATGGCCCACTTTGTCAGCTCTGATATGCTGACTTGAGGGGTTCGGTTTTCTTGAGAATTAAACCACAAAAATTAGAAAACCCAACCCTATGGCCAAACACACAGATGCAAAGAAATTCAGTTAGGACTAACTCCACTGTGTAGGGGTCTCAAGCAATTGTACACATTACAACTATTTGTTGAAATAATACGCACAACATAGCAAAAGTTAAGGACAGAGTGTAAACTTCAATTCTTAGTTTCTTGCCTCTTTGGTTTGAAGTCAGACCCTTAAAGTTGTGTGATTTGGGGGTCTTTTTGGGGCATAGATCTCCCTTTGTCTTTTCCACACACAAACTTACTTACACCAGCAACCTTTTTATAAAAAGAAAATGATTATTGTCTTCAAAAAAACCTCTCACTCATAATACACCACCGCAGCTGGAATTGAATGCTTAGTTTTCATCTATCTAGTTTTCGCTCAAAAGACTTTAAGCTCTTATTTTACCAACTTCATTCAGAGGTACAATATCTCTTACCCATTCCCCACGAGCAACTCATATCGTTACTCTGACTGCTCTCATTTCTTTTCTCTTCCTTTTCTTCTTCTTCATCTTCATCTGAGTCCTCGCCTAACATTGTCTTCTCTAACTTTTCCTGTTGCTGCTTGCGCAGAGCCTTCAGCTGAGTCACAGTTAGTTCCGACTCAGACTCCTGATCCTCCTCAGGTCCCTGCAGCACAAGACACAGATAATACCTTTAAAAGTGCATCTCGAAAAGATACCATTTTGTAACAGAAAAGCAAATTATTATATGATACCGTCAATCTCTCTTTATAGTTTTTTTAATAAAAAGTTCACTTTACCTATTGTATTCCACATCCCTAAATCCCCTGCTACTGGACACAGTAATTTGCACTTCCTGTCTACAGAAGAGCAACATACAGATGCAGCGTTCAATCCCAGATGTGGTTGTATTTTAATGGTAGGACAGGTGACCCCTATATATCCTTTAATTCACAAGGGTGTGGCGATGTATGAGTAACTAATGCTCATTAAGTGCTTTGAGGGCCTCGAAAGAGCCTGTTATCACAACTTTTAATAAAAATTTTCCTGGGCTGTTAGGCATTAGTATTTTAACTCCTAGAAATATGATATTGCTAAACTAGAATTCAAAATGAAACTGATTGTGTTTGCTCTTTTTTCCTTTAAAACAAAGAGCACAACCTCCCACCCCAACAAAAACAGATTTGAACTCTTAAATTTGATTCTTTAATTTAGATTACTTTCATAAACTCTGCATTTGCCAAAGCAGCACATGCAAGCTTTTCTGCAAAAATGATATGCATCCAATTCTTCCACTGCAAATTATGTTGCAAGAACTAAACATACAATGAAGACAAGAAAGGCATTCCTCATGTAATTTACACTACAGGACCATATAGCTAACTTGTCACTTTGGAAAAAACAAATACTAAAACAACAACAAAAATGTTCCATCTAGTTTGATGCTGTTTCCCAGCAGTGAGAGGTACATCATGCTTCAAAGAGTGATTTTTTTTCCAGTTAATAATCAACCAAGCCAATTATAGAGCATTTTTACGGGTGGTAAATCAAATTCCTGCCCATTTCCCACAACTCATGAACTTAGGCCTGGTCTACACTACGAGTTTAGGTCGACTTTAGCCGCGTTAAATCGAATTAAGCCTGGACACGTTCACACGATGAAGCCCTTTCTTACGACTTAAAGGGCCCTTTAAACCGGTTTCTTTACTCCACCTCCGACGAGGGGATTAGCGATAAAATCGGCCTTAGGGGGTCGGAATTGGGTTAGTGTGGACGGAATTCGACGTTATTGGCCTCTGGGAGCTATCCCACAGTGCTTCATTGTGACCGCTCTGGACAGCACTCTCAACTCAGATGCACTGGCCAGGTAGACAGGAAAAGCCCTGCGAACGTTTGAATTTCATTTCCTGTTTGCTGAGCGTGGAGAGCACAGGTGACCATGCAGAGCTCATCAGCACAGGTAACCGTGATGGAGTCCCAGGATCGCAAAAGAGCTCCAGCATGGACAGAACGGGAGGTACGGGATCTGCTCGCCATATGGGGAGATGAATCAGTGCTGGCTGAACTCCGAAGCAGTAAACGAAATGGCAAAATATTAGAAAAGGTCTCCAAGGCCATGAAGGACAGAGGCCATAACAGGGACGCATAGCAGTGCCGCGTGAAAATTAAGGAGCTAAGGCAAGCCTACCACAAAGCCAGAGAAGCAAACGGAAGGTCCGGGGCTGAGCCGGAAACATGCTGCTTCTACGCGGAGCTGCATGCCATTCTAGGGGGTGCAGCCACCACTACCCCAACCGTGTGCTATGAGTCCCTCACTGGAGAAACACACAGGGAAGCGGGTTCAGGGTACGAGGAAGATGAGGATGAAGATAATGTAAATAGCTCACAGCAGCAAGGAAGCGGAGAAACCGGTTTCCCCAACAGCCAGGATATGTTTATCACCCTGGACCTGGAACCAGTAACCCCCGAACTCACCCAAGACCTTGGGGGCACACAGGGGACCTCTGGTGAGTGTACCTTTGTAAATATTACACATGGTTTAAAAGCAAGCGTGTTTAATGATTAATGATTAATTTGCCCTGGCAATCGCGGCCAGTACAGCTACTGGAAAAGTCTGTTAACATGTATGGGGATGGAGCGGAAATCCTCCAGGGACATCTCCAGAAAGCTCTCCTTCATGTACTCCCAAAGCCTTTGCAAAAGGTTTCTGGGGAGGGCTGCCTTATCCCGTCCGCCATGGTAGGACACTTTACCACGCCAGGCCAGTAGCACGTAGTCTGGAATCATTGCATAACAAAGCATGGCAGCGTATGGTCCCGGTGTTTGCTGGCATGCAGACAACATCCATTCCTTATCGCTCTTTGTTATCCTCAGGAGAGTGATATCATTCACGGTCACCTGGTTGAAATGGGGCAATTTTATTAAGGGGACATTCAGAGATGCCCCTTCCTGCTCTGCTGAACAGAAATATTCCCCGCTGTTACCCACGCGGTGGGGGGGAGGGGTGAAGTGATCATCCCAGAGAATTGGGTGTGTGGAGGAGGGGAATTTGTTGGGTTTGTGCTGCATGTTAACCCTGAAACCGCAGCCCCTCCTTTTACATTGCAAACCCATTTTAAATGGCCAACCCAACGGGTGCTTGGTATGGTTAATGAGAGCAGTACTGTTTGAAACCATCCCCACATGTTAAGAAGGTTCAAAAAGCCAAAAGACTGTGTCTTACCATGGCTGCCTGCAAGCTGAAATCTGTGCCCTGGCACTGCGTGAGTTATCTCTCACACCAAACCGGCAGGCCCTCAATATAAGAGGAAAAATGCGACCTTGTAACGAAAGCACATGTGCTGTGTAATGTGAACAGCAAAATTTAACGTGAAAGAGTGTACCCATTGTTCTCTAAAATGTGTCTTTTTTAACCACCTCTCCCTTCTCCTCCACCAGCTGCAAATCTTTCTCCTTCACAGAGGCTAGTGAAGATTTGAAAGCGAAAGCGAAGGACGCGTGATGAAATGTTTACAGAACTACAGACTGCCTCCCACGCTGACAGAGCACAGCAGAATGCGTGGAGGCAGTCAATGACTGATTATAGAAAAGCCCAATATGAGCGAGAGGAGAGGTGGCGTGCTGAATCGCGGGCTGAAGATGATAGGTGGCGTCAGCTTGCACACAGAAGGCAAGAGTTGATGCTCCGGCTGCTGGAGCATCAAACTGATATGCTCCAGCGTATGGTTGAGCTGCAGGAAAGGCAGCAGGAGCAGAGACCGCCGCTACAGCCCCTTTGTAACCAACAGCCCTCCTCCCCAAGTCCCATTGCCTCCTCACCCAGACGCCCAAGAACACGGTGGGGGGGGCCTCCGGCCACCCAGTCACTCCACCCCAGATGATTTCCCGAGCAATAAGTGTTAAAGTTTTAAACTGCAGTGTGTCCTTTTCCTTCCCTCCTCCCCCACCCATCCCGGGCTACCTTGGCAATTATCCCCCTAGTTGTGTGATGAATTAATAAAGAATGCATGAATGTGAAGTAACAATGACTTTATTGCCTCTGCAAGCGGTGCTCGAAGGGGGGAGGGTAGGGGAGGGTGGGGTGGTTGGTTTACAGGGAAGTAGAGTTAACCGGGTGGGTGGGGGGGGGCGGAGATTTCATCAAGGAGAAACAAACAGAAGTTTCACACCGTAGCCTGACCACTCACAAAACTCGTTTTCAAAGCTTCTCTGATGCGCACCGCGCCATGCTGTGCTCCTCTAACCGCCCTGGTGTCTGGCTGTGCGTAATCAGCAGCCTGGCGATTTGCCTCAACCTCCCACCCCGCCATAAATGTCTCCCCCTTACTCTCACAGATATTGTGGAGCGCACAGCAAGCAGCAATAACAATGGGGATATTCTTTTCGCTAAGGTCTGAGCGAGTCAGTAAGCTGCACCAGCGCGCTTTTAAACGTCCAAATGCACATTCTACCACCATTCGGCACTTGCTCAGCCTGTAGTTGAACAGGTCCTGACTCCTGTCCAGGCTGCCTGTGTACGGCTTCATGAGCCATGGCATTAAGGGGTAGGCTGGGTCCCCAAGGATCACGATAGGCATTTCAACATCCCCAACGGTTATTTTCTGGTCCGGGAAGAAAGTCCCTTCCTCCAGCTTTCGAAACAGACCAGAGTGCCTGAAGACGCGAGCATCATGTACCCTTCCCGGCCAGCCCACGTTGATGTCGGTGAAACGTCCCTTGTGATCCACCAGGGCTTGCAGCAGCATTGAAAAGTACCCCTTGCGGTTTATGTACTCGGTGGCTTGGTGCTCCGGTGCCAAGATAGGGATATGGGTTCCGTCTATCGCCCCACCACAGTTTGGGAATTCCATTGCAGCAAAGCCATCCACTATGGCCTGCACGTTTCCCAGAGTCACTACCCTTGATATCACCAGGTCTCTCATTGCCCTGGCAACTTGGATCACAGCAACCCCCACAGTAGATTTGCCCACTCCAAATTGATTTCCGACTGACCGATAGCTGTCTGGCGTTGCAAGCTTCCACAGGGCTATCGCCACTCGCTTCTCAACTGTGAGGGCTGCTCTCATCCTGGTATTCTGGCGCTTCAGAGCAGGGGAAAGCAAGTCACAAAGTTCCATGAAAGTGCCCTTACGCATGCGAAAGTTTCGCAGCCACTGGGAATCGTCCCACACCTGCAGCACGATGCGGTCCCACCAGTCTGTGCTTGTTTCCCGGGCCCAGAATCGGCGTTCCACGGCATCAACCTGCCCCAGGAACACCATGATTTCCACATTGCTGGGGCCTGTGCCTTGTGAGAGGTCTATGTCCATGTCCATTTCCTCATCACTCTCGTGGCCGCGCTGCAATCGCCTCCTCGGCTGGTCCCGGTTTTGCTTTGGCATGTCCTGGCTCTGCATATACTCCAGGACAATGCGCGTGGTGTTCATAGTGCTCATAATTGCCGCGGTGATCTGAGCGGGCTCCATGATCCCAGTGCTAGCTATGGCGTCTGGTCTGAAAAAAGGCGCGAAACTAGTATCTGACGGACCAGGGGAAGGAGGGAGGGAGGGAGGGAGGGGCGAGTGACGACATGGCGTACAGGTACAGGGAATTAAAATCAAGAAAGGTGGCTGTGCATCAGGGAGAAACACAAACAACTGTAACACAGAATGGCCCCCCCCAAAGATTGAACTCAAAAGCCTGGGTTTAGCAGGCCATTGATTTGACGGAGGGAGGGGGGAAGGAAATGAATACAGAACAAATCTATTTTTTACATCTTAAGATGACGGTGCAGCATGACTGATAGCCCTCGGCATTTTCTGGGTGCTTGGCAGCAAATACTGGGCGCTTGGCAGTTAGCCTTCAGGCCTATTGCACGATCTGCTGCTCAGGGAAGACTCTGCTAACGTGCGATGAGCCAACAGGGCGCTTGGCAGAAAATGGCATACTACGACTGATAACCATCATCATCAAGACAGTTCCATAGGACTGAGCATGTCTGCCCAGGTGCCCATGATCGACAGCCACTGCTGTACGACGAGGACGGTTACCAGTCGTAATAAACCATCTACTGCCAAAAGGCAAGGGGCTGGTGCAATGCAGCCCCACGGCTGCCGGCACCCAGATCGCCAATGAAGGCTACCAGTCATGCTGCACCGTCTACCGCCAAAAGGCAGTTAGCTGCTGCTGCTGTGTAGCAATGCAGTCCGACGTCTGCCGGCACCCAGATGACATATGGTGATGGTGAGCTGAGCTGAGCGGGCTCCATGCTTGCCGTGGTATGTTGTCTGCACAGGTAACCCAGGTAAAAAGGCGCGAATCTATTGTCTGCCGTTGCTCTGACGGAGGGGGAGGGGCCTGACGACATGTACCCAGAACCCCCCGCGACACTGTTTTGCATCATTCGGGCATTGGGATCTCAACCCAGAATTCCAATGGGCGGCGGAGACTGCGGGAACTGTGGGATAGCTACCCATAGTGCAATGCTCCGGAAGTCGACGCTAGCCTCGGTACTGTGGACGCGGTCCGCCGACTAGAGCACTTAGAGCATTTTATGTGGGGACACACACAATCGGCTGTATACAACCGATTTCTATAAAACCGGCTTCTATTAATTCGATCTAATTTCGTAGTGTAGACATACCCTGAGTTTCTTAAGTTGCTGAATAAGTAAGTTAAGCTACATGAAATAGTGTCCTTAAAAGGATGCTGTCAGTTTGAAAGCTGGTCAATTTCAGGGTTGCTAACTCTTGCAACTTTATCATAGCTTTTACAAGGGTAAACAGTGAGGTGGCAAAATTTGCAGATGATACAAAACTACTCAAGATAGTTAAGTCCCAAGCAGACTGTGAAGAGCTACAAAAGGATCTCACAAAACTGGGTGGCTGGGCAACAAAATGGCAGATGAAACTGAATGTTGATAAATGCAAAGTAATGTACATTGGAAAACATAATCCCAACTATACATATAAAATGATGGGGTCTACATTAGCTGTTACCAGTCAAGAAAGAGATCTTGGAGTCATTGTGGATAGTTCTCTGAAAACATCCATTCAATGTGCAGCGGCAGTCAAAAAACCAAACAGAATGTTGGGAATCATTAAAAAAGGGACAGATAATAAGCAGAAAATATCATATTGCTGTATATAAATCCATGGTACACCCACATCTTGAATACTGCATGCATATGTGGTCACCCCATCTCAAAAAAGATATATTAGAATTGGAAAAGGTTCAGAAAAGGGCAACAAAAATGAACAGGGGTACAGACCAGTTACCACATGAGGTGCGATTAATAAGACTGGGATTTTTCAGCTTGGAAAAGAGATGACTAAGGGGGAATATGATAGAGGCCTATAAAATCATGACTTGTGTGGAGAAAGTAATTAAAGAAGTGTTAGTTACTCCTTCTCATAACACAAGAACTAGGGGTCACCAAATGAAATAATAGGCAGCAGATTTAAAACAAACAAAAGGAAGTATTTCTTCACATAACGCAGTCAACCTGTGGAACTCTTTGCCAGAGGATGTTGTGAAGGCCAAGACTATAACAAGATTCCAATAATAAGAACTAGTTAAGTTCATGGAGGATAGGTTCCATCAATGGCTATTAGCCAGGATGGGCAAGGATGGTGTCCCTAGCCTCTGTTGTCAGAAGCTGGGAATGGGCGACAGGGGATGGATCACTTGATGATTACCTGTTCTGTTCATTCCCTCTGAAGCACCTGGCATTGCCCACTGTCGGAAGACAGGACACTTAGCTAGATGGACCTTTGGTTTGACCCAGTATGGCTGTTCTTATGTTCTTACAATGTCTAGTGCATTTTTAATGCTCCAGCTCCTGGAATCACGTGACTGTGTGAGACTCTCAGCTCTTTTTAAAAGTGAGTTTCTTGCCATCACGATTGCAAAGCAATGCCTGAAAATGTGACCCAAGTGCACCCACAAAGGCTGAGAAGCCAGAAGACCAAGAGACTCCCAAATATTTTTGCCAAGTCATGAATTTCAAGGGCTTAACTTATGATTTTTGAACACATGGGTTTGACACAGCTGTGACTGCAAAGACAGAGTCAGCCTCTGTGTACACTTACGGAAGCATGTAGAGCACAGGAACCATATGAATAACTACCCACTACAGTGAAAGGCAGGCTGCATCCCAGGGTGGATAAAAATCAATGATTTAAAAAAAAACAGATTTTTTTGATAAAATGCTTTTTGAGGAAAAAAACCTATCTAAAGATAGTTTTTAATTAAAATACATTATAGCTCAAAGATATCTCATCATGGAACAGGGATTATAAATTCAAACTCTATAGTATGAAACAATATATTCATGTAATGTTTAAGAAAAGTTTTGTAAATGAGTTCCAATAGTTCATGGATTAGGGATCCAATTTTATGGGGTTCCAGGGGCTTCTATATAGATTTATTTAGGTTAATCTTTCTATCTATTCAATGGGACTCAGTACTCAGTCTAGAAAATACCTGTGGATTTGTGTCTCCAGAGATAACATGCTTGTTAACAGCAAAAATGTTTTATATATATATAAAGAGAGAGAGAGAGATGAAAAATAACAGACCTCAACCCTATTGTCCCTCACAAATTTGTGTACACAGAATCAATCCCTTACCTCTCTCTAAAAATGCAAAGTTTCAAAAAGTTCAACGAATAGAAGATTGTTAGGGCAGAATAGATCTGGACAAGAAGAAGTCTGGAGATAAACGTGAGTGCTCAACACCAGCTTAAGAGAAATCTTGAACACATGCTAAATACCCTGAAGCCTATTTCTGTAGCCTTGAACAAAATGCAGGGAAATAGCTGTTTTATTGCGTACGCTGTTGAAATTTGGAAGGAACTGAGTGAGATCTTAAAAGAGAAATATGCAATGACAGAGTTAATTTACAAGCAAAAAAAAAAAACCCAAATGGAACAAGCACTATTTCCAGCTCATTTTCTTGCAAATATTCTCAATACTCGGTATTAGGGTCAAACCTTAACTGCTGAAGAAGAGGAGTTGGCTATGACATGGACATCCAGCAAACATCCCTCCATAATGCCAACTATAATAAACTTCAGAGCTAAGGGAGAACAACTCAAGAAATATATGTTTGCTGATGATGTTTTAAAAAACAGTCACACCAGTGAACTGGTGGAAGTCACTTAAGCACTTGGATTCAGAGACTGTTGAATTGATAATCTCACTTTTAACAGCAGTAGCTTCTTCTGCCAGTGTAGAAAGAATATTTTCTTCCTTTGGACTAATTCATTCCAAACTGAGAAATCGTTTGGCACCCAAAAAAGCAGGAAAGCTTGTTTTTCTTTTCCAGATAATGAACAAACAGGAAAATGAAGACGACTGAGTTAGCTGCAGAAGCCAATATTTTAAGTTTCTCATGTTGACCTGGCTGATGTAGTCGATTTAATTTTTGCTTTGTTTTTTTAAATATTTCATTTAACTATTTTAGTTAAAAACAATTTTAACAAAAACAAACCTGATTTTAAAAAACTTGAATGTTAAACTAAATTCAAAAATTCATATGCTTGTTTTGTTAAAATATTATATGTTTGCTGTTGAAGAAAAAATCCAGAATACATAACATTGTTGTTTTAGTTAAATAAAACAATTTAAATGTCTGTCTGATGATGTTCTCCTCCTAATACAGCATGGCAAGAAAATCCTCAAAATATTAATGATTAACCTGTTGAATTGGAGATAGTTCACCTCCCATCGACTTCATAAATATCTGCTTCAATTACCTTTGGTAAATTAAATAACCAATCATTCATTTTCTGATATAGGTGTAAAACTAATCTGAAAAGTTTTCAAAATAACTCACTTTAAAAATGTATAGTGTGTACCTTCTAAAAATGAAACCTACATCTATCTCTGAATTGTGAAGAATATGTATTAAGATTATGACAACCAACAAGAATGCACTTTTCTGTAGAAATCCATGATTAAATCGAGTCTTCCTGACTAGGTGCTCGGACCCTGCTGCATCCATGTTTGTCAGATGGTGTGTAGCTACAAGGGTGGCAGTAGGATGCTACACAGCAATAATAGCAGCAAAGACCTGAGAGGCATGGTTTGGGTGGGTAGAGCCCTGCAGGCAACTTACCTAGGTTCAGGTTCATAGGGCACTTTGCTCTACTCCCTTAAGCAGTGCCTGCACTGCTGTTTATACCTGTGATAACTGGGCACACAAAGTCTGTACTCTGCACATCACTGAAAGTGCAGCCCCACTTTCAGAGGCATTTTCAGGTGCTGCCCCTGGACAGTTCTGGGGGTTTACAGTCACATTTCTCCGTTGGGAGACAGGTTGCCCCCACCTGCAGGCAGGGCGCCCCCCAGAACCCCGCCTCCCGGACCATAGGGGCCGGAACTAGGGGTGCACCGCACCCGCTGGCTTGAAGTGGTTTCCACCATATACAGGGTTGACAGTTTGGGTCAACGGCTCTCAGCGCCCCCGCTCCGCACCCACCTGCAGCAGGAAGAGGCGGGAGCTGCCCCCGAAACGCAGCGCGTGCCCCACGCGCACCCGGCAGTAGGTGCGGGGCGGGAGCCGGGCCTTGTTGAGGAAGGTGCCGTGGGTGCTGTCCAGGTCGTAGACGTAGAAGCCGGGCTGGGCCTGGCCGCGGTACTGCAGCACGGCGTGGTGCCGCGACACGGACGGGTGCTCCAGCGCCAGGGCGCAGCCCGGCAGCCGCCCCACCAGGAACCAGCTCCTGCCCTCCAAGCGCAGGGTGCCCACGATGACGCCGCCCTTCAGGGTCTCCAGGCCGTAGCCGGCCTCGGCTGGGGGAGCGCTGCCCCACGGCGGCTCCTGGTAGCGGGGCTGCGGGGCCGCGGCGGGGAGGGGGCCAGGGGCCGAGCTCGGGGCCCGGGGCTGGGGCGGGCTCTCCGCCGGCGGCTTCCCACCCGCTGCTTCCCCCTCGGGGTCCCGGGGAGCGGCGCCCACCTCCTTGCCGCGGAGCGGGACCGCCGGCGGCAGCGCCGGTCTCTTGAAGGCCCCGAACTCGGGTCCCTCGGCCACCGGCTCCATCCCTCTGGGCTCGGCCGCTACCAGCCTAGCGGGTCCCCCGAAACCAACCCCCCCCGAAACCTGCTCCACGGCAGCTCGGGTTCCGCCCACGTCTCAGCGCCGCAAGGGCTCCGAGCCCCGGAACCAAACAGCGAGGGAGAGGAAGAGCGCGGCGAACACCCCCACCCTCCAGGCAGCGCGGGACTCACGGGGACCATTTCCGCCAACGGAACATCGTTTACATCCGGGTCAGCGGCTCAAGGGGGATCGGAGTCAGTCGGTTGCGAGGTGTCAACAGCGGGAGGCTGCCGGCGTCTGTTGCGGGCCGGGGCTCGGTAAGGGCGGGGCGGGATCCTCTGCTCCGGTCCCTCCCCCTGTGCTCGCCGCAGGGCTCAGCGTGACCTACGGGCGCTTCCCCCCGAGCCGGTGGCGGCTCCGCTCCCGGACTCCCCTCCAGCCGGGCCGCAGCGCTCACAGCTCCGGGGTCTGCGCCCGGCTTCACCACTGACTCCTTGCGTGGTCCTGGTCCGTCCCCTCTCGGCAATTGGGGGCTGCTGTCCCCAGCACGGTGCAGCCGCAGGAGGGGCCCAGACTTCCCTAAGGTCTGGAAAGCCTGTGGGAGCCTGCGGGGGAAAGCACTGCACAAGTGCAAGGCGCTGCTGGGAATAATACTTTGTGCCTCTGCACCCAGGCTGGGGTTCCATCTCCTGGGAGTGTTATAGACCGTTCCGGCGGCTGAGTGGGGGAGTAAACTAAAGCAGTAAGTCATATGGTTTGTTCTGAGTTCTTACTGCTCTGATTTACTGAAGAAAGATCTATGTGGAGTGCTCAGATGACTGATCACTGAACACCCCCAGGAGCTAATTCCATACACACAGGGGACCCATTGGACTTGTAAACTTCTGAAATTTCTCCTAGACAAGGCAAATTGGGTTGTCAGTTCTCCCTCACCTAAAGAAAGAATTCACAGAAGAACTAAATTCTGCATTATAAATGTGAAACAACCTTACGGCTGTCTTTCTTTTTCTCTAGGGGCAGCAGCCATGTAATCTCTTAAGAACAGCACCCTCTTGCAAGTGTTCTGAAGATCATACTTCTTCTCAGCATGTCCTTGAATGAGAATTTTTTGCTGTTGATAACTGGAAGGGTGCTTGGAGTTTCCTAGCTCCTTTGTTTCTTCTATCAAAAGCCCACCGTCTTCTCAAAAGCCTTTCTCTGTTACTTTAGGTGCTATACCTTATTTGTGTCAAAATGCTGCGATATTGGGGTGAGATTCCAGTGTCGACCAGTCAGGCCAACCGTAGCTCCTTTGATTTGCTTCAGCGTGAGTTTCGCACCGTGGAAGTCCAAGATCCTCCATTACATCAGCCCTCTGCAAACAAGCCCAGGCCACCCACCATGCTGGACATCCCCTCGGAGCCCTGTAGCCTCACCATTCACACCATTCAGCTCATCCAGCACAACAGACGGCTGCGCAGCCTCATTGCCATGGCTCAGGCCCAGAACCAGCAGCAAGTGGAGGGCATAAAGACAGACGAGAGCGAGCCTCTGCCATCCTGTCCTGCCTCCCCACCCCTCCCTGATGACCTGCTTCCTCTGGATAGCAAAACCCCCAAAATGCCATTTCAGCTAAGGCACAGTGATCCAGAGAGCGACTTTTATAGGTGTGTTGATGTCACTTTGGATTAAGTCTCTGCTGCAATGAAGTCAGGCAACTTTATATGTACAGAGGCAGTCAGATGGATCCTTTTCGGGGGAGTGGCTGTCTCAGAGGATCATTAAGGAGGGAGGGAGACTAAGGTATAGTGATTAGAGAAGGAGACTAAAGTCGGAAATCTTGAATTCTACTCTTGCCTGTGTATTCATTTGCTATCTGTAAAAATGTGGTTAGCAATTCTGATTTGTGTCTCAGCAGGGTGAGGCTTAGTGTTTGTAAATGTGTTTTGACATCTGCTGGAAGGAGCTGTAGAAGTTCAATGATAGTTTTTGATCTTTAGATTCCTCATTTAAATCCAGTTGCTGATTCAAATCCAGTTTAGAGAATTGTATGGTTATGGACACTGAATTCCCTTCTCCCTAAAACTGGCTTTTCCAACTGAGGGCTAGTGGGACAGTTTGTAGGAAACTTGCATTGCTTCTGCCTCTGCTTCACCTGTTCTTTGGGTAAATAATAGGGGTCCAATCTCTGGGGTTTTCAAACAGCAATCTTTATTTTGCCAGCACTACATTAACAAGAGAGAGTGCGTTTTCTACAGGATGCCGAGGTGCTTTACCGACTGTATCGTTTTATTTACAGAGATCACTCTCTCACCATTATAATACAGTATGCTCTTAGATGGAATAAGGTAGCCACTCCATACGTGTTGTAGGAGAGAAGAATAACTTCTATTGAAATAGGGGGAATTTAGGTCAACATAAAGTGATTAACCAATTGAGTTTGGATAGGACCTTAGGGTTAACACCCTTTCTACTCCTGCTGTGGGATCTTTAATGACCACAAATGGCTAGGAATTCTACTTTCTGTCTCACTTGAAAGTAGAGCAGGGCGACATTTTTCAGCCAAAACCTTTTTCAGTGAGAAATGCAGATTTGGCAACACCAAAATGTTTTGCTAATTTGTATCAATTTTGCCAAATTGTTTGGTTTAAAAACAACAAAACACATACAAAAATGAGACAAAATCAAAATGTTTTGGCACCTTCAGAACAATATTGTGTTATTTGAAACAATTAAAACTAAGTCCAATGTTTAAAATGGTCTAAATCAAAACAAAATATTTTGATTTTGTTGAAACCAAACAATTTGAAATTTTATTTTGGTGTTTGGATTTGCTGAAAATTAAAAATAATATATATATATTTTTTTGGTTCAACCCAAAACAATTTTTTTAAATTGCCAGTGAACCATGTTGGGGCACTGTTTCAATAATCACTTTGAAAGAACAACATCATCTTGTAAAGAAGAAAAGGTCAGCAGTATAAAGATAAGATTGGGAATGCCAACTATGTCAGAAAATAGTTGTTTGTATCATCAAGTTAAAATAATAATAGTAATGTGTACTTCAGTATGTTGCCTTATACCTCAGGACCTCATAGTGTTTTGTAAATATCAGTGAATCAAGTCTTGTAGTACTCTTGCAAAAACAGGCATCATCCATGTTTTACAAATAGGGAACAGAGGCATATGGGTGAAGTAGCTTTTCCAAGGTCACTCAAAAACTCATGTTCCCTGCTATGTCATAGAGCCTAGATCAGGGATTGGCAACCTTTGGCATGCGGCCCGCCAGAGTAAGCCCCCTGGCGGGCTGGCCGGTTTGTTTACCTGCTGCATCCGCAGGTTCAGCCAATCGCGGCTCCCTCTGGCCGCGGTTTGCCGCTCCAGGCCAATGGGGGCTGTGGGAAGCGGCTTGGGCTGAGGGATGTGCTGGCCGCTGCTTCCCGTAGCCCCCATTGGCCTGGAGTGGCGAACTGCGGCCAGTGGGTTCCGCGATCGACCGAACCTGTGGATGCAGCTGGTAAACAAACTGGCCTGGCTTACAGTGTGCCAAAGGCTGCCGATCACCGGCCTAGATCATAACTTGTAGTCATGTAATTTAACCATTAGATGCAATTAATGCATTTGCCCTACTGACTTCCTTTTTCAGACCTCCTCAGGTACCTAAGATGAGAAGTCAAGTGAGGCTTACTTGGATCTTGTTTAACTTTGCATGCAGTTTGCATAGCTAACTCATTCTAACTTGTTTCATTTCATGGATGTGTTAAGCTTTTTTTTTTTTTTTTAAGTTGAACTTTCATTGTAAAGGTTCAAAATGTTTTTGATCAGATTTCACTTTGGTTTAGACAAATGTTGTAAATCCCTTTCATGTTTAGAGGGAATGAGTAATTAAGATAGTTATTGATAAAACCAGAACCCCAGCCCTCTCCTTGTCTGCTACAGTCATTGAAGATGGTCTAGGGCAGGAGTTCTCAAACTGGGGTCGGGACCCCTCGGGGTTGCAAGGCTATTACGGGGGGGGGAAATGTGTGGGTCGCGAACTGTCAGCCTCCACCCCAAACCCTGCTTTGCCTCCAGCATTTATAATTGTGTTAAATATATTAAAAAGTGTTTTTAATTTATAAGAGGGATCACACTTAGAGGCTTGCTATGTGAAAGGGGTCCCCAGTACAAAAGTTTGAGAACCACTGGTCTAGGGAAACAATATTTATAACAGTTAGCCACCTAGGAAAGCTTAAGGTCAGAAATGTGAAAAATTGGTGCAGTGCAACTTTGGAGTGACATGTTTTGTGGGTTACAAAGAGGGAGTTTTTAATGGGCTGTGGTGAATTTGGAGTTTAATGCAAAACATGGTTTAATTGTGTGCCTCACAGATTAAACTGTTTTAAACTCTTGCAGGACAGGAACTGGAAGGTCCATGTAGTCTATGCTTTTATTCAGTTCTAGGATAGAATAGAGAAAATCTCTGTGTTGAATTGACATTTTATGTGAATAAAAATAGCAGCTGCAGTTACACTAGCTAGAATAAAAGTACAAAGGTTGTCAGCCCTCGTTCTTCAGTGTGTAAGATCATAAACAGAGATAGGGAAGACATTTCCTCTTTATGATACGGTTGGCTTTTATATTTTCCTCTGAAGCATCCATTGTGTTCCACTGCCAGAGACATAATATCAGACTAATTGGATGACTGAACTATTCCAGTTCCTTTATTCACTGTAATAACTCCCATTCTAGAGGAAACAGAGTGTGTATATACTTACAAAAAGAAAGACTAGCAGGTTTTCACTGGTGTAGGAACTGAAAACAGAGGGTTAAGTTCTCAGCATTGAAAGTTTAATGTACAGCAGATTTATAATTACCGTCTGAGCTGGAGACTTCTACCATAACATGACTGCTAGTTTTCTCTCTGTCTGCCTCCAACGGCCATGGAATCATCTTCAAAAGAGAGACAACCTACTCCCTCACTCTTTTCCCCCCCAAAGCATCTCAAATGCTTTTTCTCACTTGCCAATAGAGGTTTCTTAGCTGGCCTCCATTGCTGTTCTCTCTGACTCTGTTAGTTGCCTCCCTGACCTTCTGGTTCAGGTGCAGGTGCCACACCCCTCCCAGGTTGGGGAGTGGCAGCAGGCAGGAAGTACCCACTAATGGTTAGGGATTGATTTTTTTCCAATGGGGTTGCAACTTGCATGGGGAGAATGTGCTGAGGATCAGGATTTCTGATAGTAGAGACTGGGGGATGCAGAGCAGATCAGCCCTCTTTCTCTGGACTAGTACAGCATCTTATCCTCAAATCCCAGCCAGTTTAGGTATAATCCATCTGGGAACTTTTTCCAAGGGTGAAATCAGCACTAATTATACCAGTTCCTGGCTATCCCTGGACAACCGGGCGCAGGCAGATGAAAGACAATGGAGACACTTAAAAAGAGGTGTATTCAGAAAGGAAAAAGAGTATTGGCCTTCACAACACCCTCTGGCAAAGAGTGTTGTGAAGGCGAATACTATAACGGGGTTCAAAAGGGAGCTAGATAGATTCATGGAAGATAGGTCCATCAATGGCTATTAGCCAGGATGGGCAGGAATGGTGTCTCTAACCTCTGTTTGCCAGAAGCTGGGATTGGGTGACAGGGAATGGATCACTTGATGATAACCTGTCTGTTCATTCCCTTTGGGGCACGTGGCATTGGCCACTGTCAGAGGACAGGATACTGGGCTTGATGGACCTTTGGTCTGACCCAGTATGGCCGTTCTTACGTTCTTAAAAGTCCCCTTGCCCAGCAAAGCTCTCCTTATTGTAATCATTGTGTTCTCCAGCTCTGTGGCTCTCAACCTTTCCAGACTACTATACCCTTTTCAGGTGTCTGATTTGTTTTGTGTACCCCCAAGTTTCACCTCATTTAAAAACTACTTGCTTACAAAATCAGACATAAAAAATACAAAAGTGTCGCAGCACACTATTACTGAAAATTGCTTACTTTTTCATTTTTACCATAAAATTATAAAATAAATCAATTGGAATATAAATATTGTACTCACATTTCAGTGTATAGTATATAGAGCAGTATAAACAAGTCATTGTATGAAATTTTAGTTTATACTGACTTCGCTAGTGCTTTTTATGTAGCCTGTTGTAAAATTAGGCAAATATCTAGCGGAGTTGATACACCCCCCTGGAAAACCTCTGGTTGTGAACCACTGCTCCAGCACACTTTGTAACTAATTTAACCTTATTTTTCCAGCATCATCCTTTGCTCTTTTGCATGGGGGGAAAATGGTTCTCAAGTGATGGGAATTTTTGCACCTCATTTGGTAAAAATCAGCTCAGCGGTGTAATGTTTCATAAAATTGAAGTGCTCATGAGAAAGTAATCTTTTCTTTCCCTAGACCTGCTGCTAGCTCACCTTTGGCAGCCTATGACTTCCTTCCATTATTTTACATGAGCGAACCTCAGTTGTTGCTCCACATATTGAATTGGCCCAATTATCTTCACTCTAACATGCTAGTTAAACAGGAAATGGCCCACCAGATTTTCCTTCCTTTAAAGGAAATGGTCTTGCTAGAGAGCGGCTTGGACACAAGAATGCTTCTGATTGCTTCATATGGGGGCAGTAGATAGATGGCATGCTGTCATGTTAAGAGACTGCCACAGAAAATGTGCCATTTTATGAGGCTGGCAACCTCATTTACTCTGAAGGCTAAGTTTGATTGATCTGAGTTGGCAGATTTGTCAATTTGCTGTAAAGTGATATTCTGTACATTACGGGCCCATTGACGGGGATGGGGAAAAACCAGCATTTCAGTTTATATATTCTTAGGTTGGGTAGATGGTTTTTCCTCCATATCGTCTACCGCAGTGGTGGTCCATAAAAATGTAGAGGTGTTCATAGATCTTTATGAGATCTATGATGTAAATGAGGATCTATTATTGTCAAATGGGCCAGTATCTCATAGTATTTATGGTAACTGAAAATAGCCTAGATACTCTTCTGCAGAGATGATCGAAATCTAAGCCACCAAATTACACACTTGCAAGTCTGGGACTTGCCAACCCATGGTGACTAAATCTTAGGGGTAAAGATTCTTCTGTTTATTCATAGCTGCATGACACTGATTAAGTGTTAAGCAGGCTCAGGTTTGGTTGGTAGCTGGATGGGAGACTTCTTGGAACGCATTAGAAGCTGTAGGAAGAGGCATTCTGCAGTCAAAGTCAGTAGGGATAAGTGTTTAGGAGTGCTGTGTTTCTGGAGATGCCAAACTTTGAATGAGGTGTAAAGCCAAGGTTCTTACTAGTTATGGTCATTTAAAAAAAAAATCTTATGGCCTTTTTTGCAAAGGTTTGTTGCTACAAGAACACCTTCAATGTAAAATTCGCTCTTCTGTCTGAAAATGTTTTCCTGTTGATAGAAGCACTGGCAAATATGAGGCTAGCTCAAAGGAGTTGAGTGGGGGAATGTTCTCTCTCTCTTCCCCTCCCTCCCCCCCAAGTCTGTTTACACAGGGCATTTGACAGCACTTTGTGTATAGGAAGTTTCACTGTTTCCCCTGTATAACTAATTCATTAATTACCTTCTCCTGTTGTTCCTGTGAGGAAAAAACACCAAAAACAAACAAAAAACCCAACCAGGAAACTGTGTTCACGAAACTACAAAAATTGGGATGGAGACACAGAGAGAGGCACAGTACCTGGGAAACTGTCTGTTTCTGTCTCTCTCTCTCTCTCTCTCTCTCTCTCTAAATGGATTAGATTTTATATTGACTATATTCCTTTGACCTCAGTGTCCTGGTCACATGGTAATTAGGTTCTTTTCCAGCATTCTTCTTTGCTGCTAAATGTTGCTGTGCATTGTTAATCAGTAGCTGGAGGTGGTGGTGTATCCCAAATGAGCTAACTGAATTATGTCTCTAGTGTTTAAGCTTGCAAAGTGCCTCATTTGACAGCTACTAACTATATTTAACCATGCCTCTCTACCCACCTAAAAAGAAAGGACCAGTCCCTGGCTTTGACAGTGGTTCTCTTCCGCTGTGGAAGAAAGTAGAGAACGAGTCCCCCTGTGCTGATGGTGTAAGAGGCATAGGGCTCTCCGTGAGCTACTGAAGAGTATGGCAATACAAAAAGGGTACAAAACAGCATGGATGATGCTTGGGCTACAGAGAAACTAGATGATCTTTCAATTGGTGTATCAGAGCACCTGCTTTCTCCATTCTAAGGCAGATGGCATAATTAAATAAAAATCCAGATGAGTCACTTCATAGAGAGTAATAACTAGGAGGAGTTAATGACCTGGGGTCCACACAGCTACTCTTATTCCCCCAGGTAATACCCTGATCTGAGGCTTTTCCTGTACTATTAATTGTTTACTTTAACTTTATTATTTAAAAGAATTTCATACTAGTGAAAAATGTGGAGTTGAGAGCCTGGCAAATGAAGCCCTCTACTAGGTATCCACAGAAGGGTTTTGGTACTGATAGCAATAGTGCATGCTTCCCTCTCACTATGTGTCACACACATACCATGGCTCAGCCCTGTTTTGCGGGGGCCCTCTTTAAGGATCAGAGGGGAGTTGAAGCTCTGAGGTCCATGCATTTTTTCTGAGACTGAAAGGTGCCAGTTGTGATGGTATGTTCTATGGTGTAGACATCTGCATTCTAGGCATTGCAGTGAGACCAACCTCTCATCTTAAGCAAGCCACTAAGCAGTTAGCAGATGATATCTGTAAGGTATCAAGTGGTGGCAAGTTATTGGAAACATTTGGTGGTGCAAGTGTTTGTGGAGGAGGTGAGGAATTAGGAAGTTGGGTTTGTAAGGAGATCAGAAAAGGAAACTGATCAGAAATTGAAGGTGAAATTAACTCATCTAGTTTAACTGCTGGAACTGAGTGAAGTATTAAAAAGCAAACAAAAACCATACCAAGTGAACAGAAACTATGAATTTTAAAGTCTGTTGGGCCAGGCATATGCTCTTTTGTCTTTCAAATTCCTCAAAACTTTTCTTTCCCCTGTGAAACTCTCAAATACTAACCCACCTCAGTAAAAAATTATCACCCACTCATTACAAGAATATTGTAAATGTTGTAAGCCAGTGGATCTCAGCCTCTCCTACCCTCTGCTTCCCATCCAGCTGGGATGTAGCCAGGACCCCCTCACCCTCAATATGAGGAAGGGCAGTGTGGTCACAACCCCTAAGCTATGAATCCCTGTTCTAAGACAGCGCCTTTCTCTGGATCTCCCAGCATGCTTTGTGTTACATTGCAAATTGTACTGTCTCTCTCTTCCTGCTTCTTTTATAGCACCAAGTGCATTGCTTAGAGGTGACCTGGAAAAAATGGGCTTGTACCTTTTTGTGTATACTTTATGATTTAACAAAGTGTGTGTGCTCTGCTTGTTTTTTTTAACATTACAGATTTACATCTTGTCTGTCTTGGAAGCCTCTGTGGATGACTGGAGAGCTAATAGGCCTGTGACATTAGAGATAACAAGGAAGTGAAACCTGATTAACTGAGAGGGGAAGAGGTTTGCATTCAGGTTGTTAAAACTCCTTTTGTGTGTGTGTGTTTAGCACCTGTTTAATTCAGACCTCTGGGAGAAACGCTCTTGGTTTAATTAAGGGCTGAGAAAGCTCAGTCCACATTTGAGTCACTCAAGGAGTCTTCCAGCATAAAAAAGAAAGATGAGAGTCTACATTTCTGATATTTGTCAGGAAAAAAAATAAGCAGCCAATAAACCTTCTAGGCCTCCTCCATACATAACAGAGATGCCATAAAGGACCCAAACCCAACTGCTTTTCCTTTGCAGGTCACCTCTGCTAAATTAATGGCACAGATCTTTTAACAGTCAACAGTTTTTTCCTCTTCCCTATTTTCCTGAGGTGGGCGAAGGCCTGCTCATGTTGTCCTCTCTGCTTTTAGAGGGAAAGGGGAACCAGTAACTGAGCTGAGTTGGACCTCCTGCCGGCAGCTTCTCTACCAGTCCATGGCCACCATCCTGGCCCACGCGGGGTTCGAGTGTGCCAGTGAGAGCGTCCTGGAGACCCTGACAGACATTGCTCATGAGTACTGCTTGAAGTTCACCAAGCTCCTGCGCTTCACTGTGGATCGAGAAGCTCGGCTTGGGCAGACGCCTTTCCCAGACGTAATGGAACAGGTGTTCCACGAAGTGGGCATTGGCAGCGTGCTCTCTCTGCAAAAGTTCTGGCAGCACCGCATTAAGGATTATCACAGCTACATGCTTCAGGTAAGGATAGAGATGTAAAAAATGCTGCTTAATGAAAGACACTCCCAGTGCAATCTCTTGTTGCTATATAGAGAACTGTCTGGATCAGCGAGTTAATGTCCAACTAGATCTCTTATTTTGGGGGGTCAGGGAGGGTTTTAGTAAAAATGACCAGAAGGTGAGGCTAGGAGTGTTGTGGTAGTAGCATGCCTGGCCTCTAAGGGAGGAAACCCCTTAGCTGTCTGCCCCTTTGCCGATCTAGAAATATGTGGGTGGTTGGCCCAGGAGGAAGCTGTGTTTCTGTCCAGAAAAGTGGGTCAGCCCAATAAAGGAGGTAAGAAAGGAAAATTGTTTGGACCTTCCCCATCTTCTTTTCTCCACCAGAAGCTTCCACAACTTGTTTAATATTGAAGAGTTCTATTGTTTGAAAATAGATGATCAAACAAGTAAATTCTTCTACAGAGAGAGCCTATTCAACCAGAGAATTTGTGATTAAATTACATCAAATACTGGATCCATAATTTATCTGATCTTCCATGGATTTGTGTAAACCACCCAACAACAGAAACAGGATACTTTGATTTCCTAATGTTCTCTAGAGTCTAGTTGAATAGAATGGTAATCATGCAGTGAGTGAGGAGATATGCATAGTACTAGAAAGCCCTTGGCATTTGTCAGAATGACTGAGTGAGTTAAAGTGTTCAGCTTGACATACAAGTGAAACAATTTCCATGTAAGAAAAACAAAATTCAGAAGAAGGAAAAAGTCAGTACTGATTTATCAACTTGATTTCTATTTCTGTGGGTCATTGGGATGTTTAGATGTATTTTAGTAAAGTAAAGCAGTGAGCGCACAAACCAACCTAATTGTAACATATAGTTCGTGAAATGAGGTGGTTTGTTGAAACTGTACAGAAAGTTCAGTCTGAGAATACACTGCCGTGTAGTCTTTCTGTGAGCTGTTAAACAGCTGCTGCCTCCTATTCCCAGAAGTGGCTGCATTTTTCAGTGAATGCTGAAACAACTCCTGGTTCAGGGTGAAACAACTCTGGATTTGATAAAGCTCTTTGGAGTGAAAAATGCAATATAAATTTCTGTTATCACTGCAGGGAACTGGTTTCTTTTGAACTAGTTTTTCCACAGAGTTAAATGCTGGCATATTGTTCTAGTGACATAGACATAAAGATATTCTCCCCTTCATGGACTCATGTAAATGCTATGAATGTGAAGGAGAATAATATTGATGCTCATTGAGAAGAGAATTGTACCCCCTGTAGAGTCCATGACCTGAGGCAAAAATCTGCCTCATCTGATCTTCCTAGGGATTTATTCTGTGCTCCCTACCTTGGTATTTGAGAGACTTTTGGGGCAGCTCAGTTGCACTTCCACACTCTTCCTGCATGGCAGGATTTGCACAGTTTGCATAAATCAGAGACCTGCAAATGTCAGTGGCATATAAATTGTGAGTGGTTCTGATCTTTTTAAAAAAAAAAAAAAAAAAAAAGCTACATCATCTGGATTCCTCTTCACTAAAAGATTTTTTTGTTCAAAAATGAAGATTGTATGGGTTAAAATAGACTCTTTTTGCATTATGAATACTTTTTGTTCAATTTGAATGTTTAGAAAACAGACAGATTCTAGCTAGTAATCTCAGTCCCCACCTACAGCACCCGTTGCTGTTTTGAGGTCTGGGTTTCCCGCATAGCTGTACCACTACAGCTCACTCTTGACTTGCAGTAACCTCTGCTATTTTGGGGTGTGTCTAGATGAGGAAGTAGGTTTTGTTTTAAAACAGCTGTGCCACTGCACCTCAGTCTAGACCTGTAACAGTCACGGTAATTCTAACCTGGGTCAATCCAGAGCAAAAGGCTACTGAACATTACAGAAATGTGCAATACAGACAAGCACTAGTAGTAGCTAGACTTAGACTGCAAAATTCACTTCATTGATGATGTATGGTTGATAAGAACCTAAGTTTCTAGAGGTGAAGGGTTGCTGCTGAATTTCATCCCTATATTCATTTCACTCAAATGGTTGGAGAAAATGTTCACTGTATTTCTGTTGTTTATTGAACAGAAGATAGCCAGGTTCTGTAGGTTGTGATTAAAAATGGTGACAGATAGCTCAGAAGTTAAGTAGTTAAAGTTTAGGAGTGGGACTCGGGACACACATGGGTTCTATTTCTTGTTGTGCCCCAGACTTGCTATGTGATCTTGGGTGGGTGAGTTGGGCCCCCGTTTCCCCATCTATGAAACAGGGCTGCTGATACTTATTCACCAGACAGGGGTGCGTTAACCTTATTGAAGCCTTAATGAATTAACTCTGTTGAAGTCATCAGAAGTTGTGAAAGGATAAATCATCATCATTATTATTAATGTGAATAATTTATATCTGCCTGAGTACCTGTTTCCTTTGATTAGAAACCAGTGATCTGTTGAGGAGAGGGAACACTGCAACGCAGTTGTTTTGTCTGAAAATTCCATCCTTTTTGTCTCCAATGATCACTGGCAGGTTAGCAAGCAGCTCTCCGAAGAGTACGAGAAGATTGTCAACCCTGAAAAGGCAGCAGAAGACACAAAACCTGTGAAGATTAAGGAGGAGCCAGTCAGTGATATCACCTTTCCCATAAGTGAGGAGCTGGAGGGAGATCTGGCATCTGGTGACCAGTCTTTGCCTGTGGGAGTCCTTGGAGCTCAGAGTGAGCGTTTTTCTGCCAATCTGGAAGTAGAGGCGTCCCCACAGGCTACAGGTAAGGGGCAGCCTTCTGTTGTAAACACTCCCTCAGCTTTTCCAAATGGCCTCATGTATTTTACTTTAGCAAAGCTACAGCTGATGGGGGTTGTTTTTGGTCATGTGGGAGGAGGGTTCTGTTTTAAATTAAAAAGCAGCAGTGAAGTTTATTTAAAACCTTGCACAAATACAAGATACAAAACAGGGAGCAAAATGTAATGTAGTTAATGAAGTGCTAGAGATTTACCCCATACAAATAGATTGGAGTATTCGGCAGTAATACTGCAAGATGCAGAGTTTGCACTAATGTTACTCTAATGATAGCAGCCATTGTGTTAGCATAAAAAGTATACAGTAGAAAATATTCTACAGCAATGGCTGCAGTCACTGGAAGCATTAAGCCCTTATGGTGTTCCATTCTACAGTAATGGTTCAAGCACTGCAGTTTACAATAATATTACTCAAGTGTTTGCTGCTATTAGCATAGAATTATGGTAGTATATGTTTGAATAAGGGTAACCTTCTGCCAATCCAGTATAACAAAGGCAAAAGACTTTTGAACACTTGTAAAATGTGTATAAGAGGAGGGCCAACAGACTTTCCTTTTGCATATGAAGCAACAACACACAAAAAAGCTGCTTTTTATTCTGATTCCTAATGAATAAACAGTTACAAAAAGAATCCAGTTGATTTTCTGTTTTTGAGGTGGTGCCAGGAGTTTCCCACTTCCTGAAACGATCAGCACAGAAATAGTTTCACTTGCAATGAGGAGCTTGTCTGAGGATGCCAGTTGCTGGATTAGTTTGGGCTTGTTTAGTTCTGGCTGCTGGGGGAGTGTCTAGTTTGTTAGTTTTCTGTGAAGTTTTACAGTGCTGAACACACTAGCCAGGTAGCCCATGATTCAAGGCCAGAACTTTCATGTAATCGAAAAATTGTGGTCCACATTCTTTGACCTGGGTATAAGAGCAAGAACCAAATAACGAGGGAAGGGGGAACTGGTTGATGGGTCTTAGAGCTCACCTCCAGGATTGAATTTGGCCCAAGCTGGTAGTGATTGATTGTCATCACCTTCTGATTGCTATTTGATCAATTATGTGAAATGGGCTGGCAGCTCTCTGTCCCATTCTAGTAGATAAGTGTTCACATCACAAACCCACTACTAAATTAGCAGCTTCAGCAAGGACTGATTGGGCCATGGAGACTGAACTCCCCTCTTGCTCCTAGAAGTCATCACTCCAGGTCAGAATTGAGGCATGTTGGTTGACGGTGTGGGAGAATCTTGTACCACTACCGTCTGTGTTTGTACCTGTTCTGTATCTACATACAAGTTTCAGTCTCTATGGCTATCAAGTCAGCACCAGGCACCGACTCTGAGTTCTCTGGAAAATTATGAAGAACTCCCACTTTCAAAGAATGTGTGTTTTGATTCATATATACAACCACCTGAACTCAGCCATTCCCCGCAGAAATAAGTGTTTCACTCAGAAACCCAGTTAAAAGTGATGAGGTCTCTTCTATTAACCTTAATCCAAGTTACATGTGCACTGAGGGGAGACTAGATGTCAGAGTCTACTAGTTGTTTAAAGAATAACACACTGTTGAGTTTTAAAAAACACAAATCGCTCAGATGTTTTGCTGGGAGCTTGTATTGTTTTCTGCAGTGCCTCTGAAATGTGAAGTGCTCTTATTTTGTGTGGGAGGGAATGGTGAACTACTCCTGGGCCATAAGGGATTATGACTGATTCATCTGAAAAGCTTGCTATTAGCATCTACCACTTGAGAGACCCAGAGGATAACATACTAGCTGTATATTAAATGCCCCGTGCTTCTCTGATATCAGACTGATGTTTTTTAATTATGAATAGACGTGTTCTGTTCCTCTCTTGAAGATCCCTGTTCACTGCACAAGGGCCTGTGTGTGCTGGAAACCACATCTCTCTCTAAAGGAGTCCCACTGTGGAGCTGGGCAATGTTGAGTGCATAACATCAGATGAAGGGAGAGGAAGCTACTGGAATTAGAATATGGGCATCTTCAAAATGGGAATGAGCCTATTAGGGAGACAGCAATTAGGGAGACAGTCCAGTGGTTTGAGCACAAAACTAGGAGCCAGGGGTTCCTGAGTTCTAATCCTGCCTCTGAGTATGTCCTTTGTTATGGTCATGGACAAATCACTTCATCTCTTTGCAGATGGGGGAACTGAGACAAACATTGGGATACTATTTCGTTGTCATGTCATGAGAGTGTTGTGAGGATTAATACGTTAATTTGTTATGTGCTTTGATGTTAAAGTGCTCTGAAGATGAAATGTCCTGTGTAAACGTTAAGTAGTTTTACTCATTGGTGACAACACTCAATGACAAAGGGAGCTAAAGGGAATAGGTCTTAATGGTGAAGAGAAATTGGTGAAAGAAGGAAACCCTCCAATTATTGTTTAGACTGGGACTGTAGCCTTAAGCCTGATAGCATGTTAATGATGTATCCTCATGGTTGAGAAGAGGATAGATTCACTTGTAATGCACATAATGGGGATTTTTAGTGAGGCTTCTGGACACCAATAGGCCCTGTAGTTCTTCCTGGCTGTCTAGCTCCTAGACCAACACAGCCTGTGCTGCCTGCTGCCCACCACATAGGGTCTCCCTAAGCCCTGGTTTGGGCTAAGCAGTTGTGGAAGGTTTACAATGCAAACACCGTTGTGATGTTAATGGAAAGATTCTCTTTGTATAATTACTAGTAACAGGGGAAGTACAAAATGTTTGGCTCAGCACCCAGAAGCTTAGATGCTTATTCAAACTTGAGGTAAGCCTCTTGAGTCTGCAGACTAGGTTTGGAAATCTCCCAGGCTGGCTTCTTAATTTGTATCTGCATTTTATTTTTCATGTGAATTTAACCCTGACCTCCAGGGATCAAATTTCAGGTGCGAGAGAAGATTTCAGTCTCCCTTCAGTCCTTGGTTGTTATGCTAAGACTCTCAACAAGGGGCCCAATTAGTATCAGTTGTGGTAGTGGGTTTTTTCTTTTTTTCTTTCAAAATAAATTTGCAGAAATAACAAAATCTATAATTATCCCTCTTAAGGACAAAATTAAAACAAAACAAAATCCACCCATCACTGTGTTTGGAAAAACAACAACAACAACTTGGATATAATCTTACACAAAAGGCACATCGATCCTAGGATAGAAATAAAATAACTAACTTCTTGATAGTGTTGGGCTTTGTGATGTGGACATTTAGCCACTATGAACTGAACTAAGAACCACCCAGTTCCTTTCATATGGGCCACTGAACAGATATCAGATGACTGATGGCTTATTCACTATTTACCTGAATAGGGTTTGAACCAAGTGACCAAGAAGTGAAAGGTTCCGTATCTCATGGCCAATCTTCTGAGCCTCTGAGAAGAGACTTGCTTGTAATCTGATGCTTTTTTGCTTCTGGTCAAGTCAGGGATGTGGTGTGAATGGTCCTCTTCTACTTGATTTCAGACAGGACCAGAAGAGTTGGCATAAAAATGAAAAATGGGCAAAGGTTTGGTGGTCCATTATCCCAGCTTTCATTGACCTCCTAAAGGAGTTCTTGGTTTAAGTTTTGGGAAGAAATTATTACCCTTTTTTTTTTCGCATTGTGGTAGCACCCAAGAATCCCAAATAGACTCTGGACCCCATTGTGCTAGGTGCTATACAGACACTTAGGACATCACAGTCCCTAACCTGAAGCACTCAGTGTAACTGAAGAGAAGATGCAAGAAATGAGTGTAACAAACAATAAGAGGGAAGGGTGGGAGAGAAGATGAAGGTGACTTTAAGAACATCACACAGTGGCATGGGTGAACAATGTGCATAACCAATAATAATGAAGAATGTTTATAACTTTTTTTAACCAATCACTTTTAAAATTCCTTATGAACTTCTGGGCTCCTTAACAACTGCCCTTCCTCCTCCCTGAAAACATGACCTAGGTTTTGCTGCCTAGTTTGTTTTTTTTTCTTTCTATACAGACTATCCCCAGTTGGCACCTACCTAGAATTATCAGTTCCTTTAAAATAAATACAAACTATACCCACAGCTCCCTCAAACAGTGCCTCCCACCATAGAGCATCTGCTGGGAAGCCACTGTGGTGATGAGGATTTCTCTGCGCCCTGTGGAGAGAAGGGATGGGTCCCTGCAGGTGTCAAGTACTGGAGGGCAGGAAGTCCAGTGATCACTTGTGGAGCTCTGATGTCCCTGCGTTCTGAGACTGTGAGGGTACTATCTGGGGAAAAAAGCATCTTCACTGGGAAGTAAGAACTCAGCAGCATCAGCTAGTGCCAAGAGCATCATGGGTTTAGGCAAGATGTCCTGGTCCTGCATGGAGCTAGGACTTGGGGGGCACAGCAGTATCTCCATGGGGTACTGCCTTTACGGCCTCAGGGAGTCACTGACGAGAGGATTCTCCCATTTCCCATCTCTTCACAGAACAGCTTGGACCAGAACACTATAGGGCCTACGGAGGCCATAAAGGCATCACCCCATGGTGATACTGCAGTGTCCTCCAAGTCCTGACTCCATGCAGGGCCTGGGCATCTTGGCCTGACCCTTGTGCTCTTGGCACTAGCTGATGCTATTGAGTTCTTGGAGGATGCCTGGCCCTTCTAAAACTGACTCATTCTCTTGGGAAATTCCGCAGAGGGCTGCAGTGAAAAGAGGCGAGGGGCAGTGCGGGCTTAGTCAGCCCCTGCCCTAGGAGGGAGGTGATCAAAGGAAATACTGCTTTTATATGCTTTGTCTTTTTGTTTCACAGCTGTTCTGTCTCCAACCTCGTGAGCCCAGCCTTAGGGGTTAGCCTGCTCTTGCTCTTTCTCCACTGATCCTGATGTTCTTTGCACCTGTACATCTGTTCCCATGCACTCTTTACTTGGTGCTTAATGAGTACTCTGTCTCTCTCCAGGTGCCGAGGTCAATGCTTCCCCTCTCTGGAACTTGGCTCAGGTGAAAATGGAGCCTCAGGAAAGTGAGGAGGGCAATGTTCATGGGCACGGGGTCCTAGGCAGCGATGTCTTCGAGGAGCCCATGTCGGGCATGAGCGAAGCTGGGATGCCGCAGAGCCCCAATGGCTCTGAGAGTAGTTATGGTTCTCATTCTCCTGACAGCCTGATGGGCTCCTCGCCTGTCTTCAACCAACGCTGCAAGAAGAAGATGAAGAAGATGTAAAAGGGAAGAGGGCTTTTTTTCTTTCGAATCCTGCTAATGTGTGACAGTGACTTGAAATGAGCCAATAGGGCCCTTGGTACCTCGGGGACTATAATAACCAGTGCTGGCCCTGGGTTTTGGGGAACAGTCTGTGAAATTATCATGTGAGGTTCGATCTGCAGTGCACATCAACCCACCCATCTTCATTCTGCCCATGACTCCTCTTCCCATTGGGCTCTGCTTTGCATCCCCATCCATGAGATTGCAGGAGAATTCAAAATGGGACCCGTCCCCATCCTACAAACATGGCAGTGTCACCAGATCTCTGGTGGGGTTGGAGTGCGGGAGAGAAAGCAGGCTAGTAGTCTTGTTGACAGTGGCTGTTTATACTCACTGAGCCAGGGGAGTCAAGGCTGCATCTTGACAGTGAGCTTCTCAAAGTGGAACCAGAAGCAATTAGCCTTACCTAGCGCTGGCCCTGGTAATAAATGGTTTCCTTTATTTTGTTGGATTGTATGTGGCAATTTCAACCCAACTGAGTTGCCCTGGTTGAAGCTGCTATCTTGACATTTGAAATAGCTTCTGTTTTGGTTCCTGTTTTCTTTTAATGGTGCAGCTGATTGATAGCAATAATTATTTTTGTTCTGTGGATCCACAGCTAATGTTCAGCTCAGAGCTTTTAATTTGATTCATTGAGTGTCTCTCTTAACAAAAGCTGGAATGATCATGAGTCAAGTAGGAACACTGGCTTAAACCGGCTCTATACCTATAACCCATTGGAAGGTTAAAGGGAGGTTTACTGAGCCTCATATTTGTCCTTACAATTGCACATTAATCTTCTGAAAGAACAAGCTCTAGGCACAGTGTTTTTGTTTGTTCATATAACATTCATGGCCCTAATTCTCTTTCTTGATTGTATTTCATGTTCATTGTACAGAAATAGAAGCCAAACAAATAAAACTCTCCTGTGTGTCTAATAAGACTCAGTGGCCATAGGGTTTCATGGACATCAGTGTTAAAAACTGTTGTCTCAATGTTAAAGGTACTGTCTAGTGGTTAAAGAACTATCCAAATATTTAAAGCATGGTTGGTTAAACAGAGGATTTGGGAAATCTTTGTTCTGTTCCCAGCTCTGTCAGTGACTCCTGTAACCTAGAGAAGATGCAACCCCCCTGATTTTGTTTCCCCACTTGTAAAAAGGGAAAAGTAATGTGATGGGTTTGGTCACAGAGACCCCCTTGGGACTGTCACCTGATATGCTGAAATTCCCTCTGAGCTCGTTTCCCCTGCCAGCTTGGGACTTCCAGAACCCTGCCTTGTTGAGCCAGACACACTAGCCTGCTGCAACACAGACCCAGGATCTGGTCCATGCTCCCAAAGCTGCAGACTTAACTGAAAACATCTCAGCAAGTTACCTGTCTCCAGCACCCAGCTCCCAATGGAATCCAAACCCCAAATAAATACGCTTTACTCTGTATAAAGCTTATGCAGAGTAAACTCATGAATTGTCTGCCTTTTATAACACTGATAGAGAGATATGCACAGCTGTTTGCTCCCCCAGGTATTAATCACTTACTCTGCGTTTATTAATAAACAAAAGTGATTTTATTAAGTATAAAAAGTAGGATTTAAGTGGTTTCAAGTAATAACAGAACAAAGTAAGTCATAAAGCAAAATAAAACAAAACGTGCAAGTCTAAGCCTAATACATTAAGAAACTGATTACAGATAACATCTCACCCTCAGAGATGTTCCAATAAGCTTCTTTCACAGACTAGACTCCTTCCTAGTCTGGGCCCAATCCTTTCCCCTGGTACAGTTCTTGTTAGTTCGAGCAGACATCTCAGTTGGTAAGCAGGGTCTTTCTCATGACTGGCAGCCCTCTTAGTCCTGTTCCACCCCCTTTTATAGCTTTGGTACAAGGCAGGAATCTTTTGTCTCTCTGGGTCCCCACCCCTCCTTCTAAATGGAAAAGTACCAGTTTTAAGATGGATTCCAGTATAGGTGACATGGTCACATGTCACTGTAAGACCCCTAGTCTCAATTTTTCTTGGGTTGGCCCACAGGTACACAGGAAGGCTTGCAGGTAAATAAACCATTTACAACCAATTGTCCTAGTCAGTGGGAGCCATCACGATTCTAAACCACCATTAATGGCCCACACTTTGCATAATTACAATAGGACCTCAGAGTTATACTTCATCTTTCTAGCTTCAGATAGAAGAATGATACATGCATACAAATAGGAGGAATGTATTCAGTAGGTTATAACCTTTGTTATAATACCTTACAAGAGACCTTTTGCATAAAGCATATCCCAGTTACATCATTCATAAGCATATTTCCATAAACAATATGGAGTGCACAAGTAATCACAAGTAATACCTGCCTTCCAGTGGTGGTGTGAGGCTTAATTAATATCCATAGAGCACATCGAGATACTCTGGTGAAACGTATTATGGGAACTATTATAACTAGGTGCGATTGTTGCTGGATGGAATGGGGAAGGAGAGCCCCAGCCACTGAATGTTTTCAGGACTTTTAACTGGCTAAGGATGAAAGAATAGTGTATCTGCCACTCTCTGGAGCTTTAGAAGAATCTCTTAAACCTCAGTCATAAGTGCTTTTTTTAGATTGCCCAAGTACATGTACTTCTCTCATTTTTAATCATATTTTTGTATTTTGCTTCCCTTCCACACCCATTTCCCCCATAATACACACTTTGTAACAAGTCAGGCCTGCATGCTTCAAATGTATATTTAAATACAGTGGAAATTCACCCTGTATTGATTCTGCAGTGGCAGAGATGTGCTATTGATTCTCTTTTTTGAGGGTTGTTTATGCAGAGATTAGAAATGCACCAGCGTAGTTTGTATATTTTAAAATGATGGCAAAGTATATTCATAGAATATCAGGGTTGGAAGGGACCTCAGGAGGTCATCTAGTCTAACCCCCTGCTCAAAGCAGGACCAATCCCCAGACAGATTTTTGCCCCGGATCCCTAAATGGCCCTCTCAAGGATTGAACTCTCAACCCTGGGTTTAGCAGGCCAGTGCTCAAACCACTGAGCTATTAAAATCTTTATCTTCTCCCTGTTCTCCCCCGCCCCCTTATACTAAGTGTCGCTTCTGACATTTGTCTGCTTGGTGCTTCTTTCTCTTTTACAGATGGAAGCTTTAAATTCTGGGCAAGTAATTCCCCTAGAACAGTCCATAGATTTACAAAGACATTTATCATGCACAAAATAGTGACATTTCAAGCCTCACTTGGCAAATCAAATATGGACAATGTGCTCTTTTGAGGAATCAAACAAGATTTCACTATGCATTAATGCATGCTGGGGCTCATAGCAGCTAGTGCTGTGTCTGAGGAGTCCATACTCCCATGGGTATAGCGAGATTATGGTAGGAGTTAGAATTGGTGCATTAACAACTTGATCATGAAAAGGAGCTCTCCCACTGTTTATTTTTGTTGATTCTTGGGAAGGGGCTGTGCTGAATTAACCTTTTCAGAATCCTCCAGTTTCACTCGCTGCCTGTTCTTCCTCGCCTCTGTTTTTGGCTGCGAGTGATAGTGTGGATGGCCAGTCAAAGTGCAGAATATTGACAAAGCTCTGGTCTCGGCAGGGATCTGCTCTGCTGTCTAAGTCAACAGTGAATATTGCTATTGACTGGGTGAGCCTGCTCCATACTATATTTGTAGGATGTTTTGATTAGGGATGGAGGAAGGGCAGTTCAGATAGGGTCCCTTTATATATATATATATATATATATATATATGCATATGCTGAGGTCTCAAATCTTTTCTCTCTTGAAAGCTCTCCCTATCCTCCCATCTGGATACCAATGTCAGACAAGGGTTTGCCTGAGGCAATATAAGGTTCCCTACAAACACCTACACAGGAGCCTTTGTATGTAGCTCAGAATCCTGCTGTAGCTTGAACCATAACTTCAAGACCAGCCTTGCTGCCTTAGATGTGCCTGATGCTTTACAGAAAGATCGAGATTTCCCCACCTGGAAGAACTTAAAAGTTGCAAAGAGAATGGGTAACAAAACTGAGAGGGAGGAGGCTCACTGCTGAGGCTAAGGCATGTGTCTAGTGGGTGATGAAGGGTAAATTAGTTAAAATGTTATTTTTTTAAAATGTATAAAAGTGAAATATGCAATTTGGGCTGTGTTACAGGGGAGCAAAAGGTGGCTTGAACTGCAAATCCTTTTCTTTTTACTTTATTGAAGGGAGTTCCCAAGAAAATAAAAATTCCATCTCTGGAATTTTCAGTCCGGTGTGTGTGTGTGTGGGGGGGGGGGAGGCGTGAAATGGGGATTGGGTTAAAATGAAAGCTTCCCTGTAAACATCCCTCCAGCTTTTGAACTTGGGTAAGCTGTAATAATAGTGCTGTAGCACAGAGAGTGCCCCAGTGGTTTGTAGCACTTGTCTGTTTGAGAGCTGAGTAGGCATGTGGGCATTAGAAACACCATAGAAAAAGGGAGTGAGGACTGGGAATATGACTCCAGTGCATTTCCATGGGGTACCACCCACTTTACATTAGTGCCAGAAGAATTAGCCCCTGTGAGCCTAAGATGATGTACTGGGGCTCTGTTGCTTCTGCAGCATAAGCAATTCAGTGCCTCAGAAGCATTATTATTCTTTATTGTATTAGCACCAAGGAGCCTTAGTCAGGCATGGCTGCCACCTGTCTCACATGCTAGCCTGCTAGTGCTGCCGGTTGAGAGAGAGAAGAGAGCACGTTCCTGTCCCATCGTGGAGTAAGTAGTGCTTGGATTGCAGTGACTGATGGGGAGGATGATCCCTCAGTAATTGAGGGATGGAAGAGTTATTGCTCAGACTAGGTGACCTCATCAGACAGTTAAAAATAGAATGTGGAGTAAAGCAGGGAGGTTACAAAAGTGAAGGGCTCTGTCACTTGGCCTAAAGAAGATCTCCTTTAGCCAACAGTAGTAATAAGTCCCATATCTGCTCTTTGGACCAACCACAAGGGGGGCAACATTGCTCAGACACAAAACAAGTCAATCATGCTAAACCTGCAGTCAGCACAAGCCTAAACTTGGGACTGTAGCACTGTATTGACTCAGCAACTCATGGGCCAGCCTCGCAATCTTCTCACTCTGTCCCAGGAAGAAAAAAATAATCACCAGACCAGATCAAGGCCCCAGCTTGAGCAGTGGCACCGAAGCAGGAGCTAACTCATGTCCTGATTTAACACCCTTCTACTCCAGTAGCTGGGCTATTTATAGCAATTTACCCTCAGGTTAAACCTAATACCCTCTCACTTAATGGGGAAAAATGGATGAAAACAATGAGCCCAGTTATGCTCCCTTTGAAGTCAATAGGAGTTTTGCTTTTGACTTTGAGCATCATGTCTGTGGGATGCTTGACTGGGAATGGTGGAGTGTGAGCAAAGAGACATTCCCATTATGTACATGCTGAGATCTCCG